CTGCATACAGCCCAACATCTCCTGGCTACAGCCCAACATCTCCAAGCTACAGCCCATCTTCGCCAAGCTACAATCCTTCTTCGGTCAAGTACACGCCTTCACATGCATACTCTCCAAGCAGCCCAAATTACTACAGGTACTGAATTGTTGTCATATGGACTAGAGAGGCTTTGGCAGACTGCTCAGTTGTTGTGTCTTCGTATACGCACCCTTGCTTATTTTGCTTATGTTTTTGTTCCTCAGCTCAACATCGCCGACATACTCACCTACCTCACCATCATACTCGCAACCAAGCCCGTCATACAGCCCAACAAGGTCAGATTTCATAATATGTTTTGCATCCTCGGACTATCAAAAAAGGGTCTATTTCAGTACTACTAGTAATTGTGCACATGCAATGCCTTTTTTTGCAGCAATGATCATAAGAATCGCATAATTACTTCAAAATTTAGAAACTATACTAAAACCTATAGATACTTTACCAACATATTGTTGAAATGCAAGTACATAAATCGTGTGAAAGTTTCTGTTAAAAAAAAACATAAATTGTGTGAAAGCAGGAGACTTATTGGTCTCCTCGCAAACATCTTGCATGTCCACAGCAGTCACGGAAGGTTCTAGATGGGTGTAGTAATTTCATTTGCCAGTTTACTGCTGGCCATTGTATATTACCAATTTAGGCCCCCTTTGAATCAAAAGATTTATATAGAAATTTCATAGGATTTAAATCCTATAGGAAATTTTTCTATTTGCCCCTTTGATTCAAAGGATTGAAGCTTTCCAAATCCTATGAAATTCCTATGGAATAACATATTGCATGCGGATTTTAGAGGAAATTTAGCAAGAGCTCCAACCTCTTGGAAAATTTCCTATGAGTCTATCTCTCATTGGATTCATGCATTTTCCCTGCGCTTCAATCATTCTTGTGTTTTGCAATCCTCTGTTTTACACTTCAATTCCTGTCAGAATCTTGTGTTTTTCTATTCCTCTATTTTTTTTCATCCCTATGATTCAAAGGAGCCCTTAGCATTACTCTGACCACAATCAAACATCTATCCTCTTTTCAAGACAGCTACATGTAAAATAAAAACACAATGCCTCATATACAAAAGAACTAGGATTTTCTATAAGGCCACAAAATTTGGATTATACTTGTATATATCCAGTCAACAAATATCATGTAGGTCAGTTTAGTGATAACCAAATGAAACATAATTAGAATATTAGGATTCTACCTGATCATTAAGGATGCATGTAATTTTATCATCCTTGAAAAGGTAACAAGGTGCCAAATTTTACACTAGAAAAATATGGTACCTCTAGTACCTTCTCAAGGATGGTAAAATTACCCAAAATTTAATTTAAAATTTAGGTACCTCAAGTTACTTTCTCAAGGACTAAAATTTCTCTAAGGATGCTACTTCTGTTGTAGTGTCAGTAGGAAACTATGTTTATCTACTAGTTGTAGCTATTATAGGTGATCAGCAATTCTGTGGTGCTCACTTTATATATGATAGTTCTTTTGTAGTTTCAGTGGGAAATTCAGTTACAACGTGACATTGTGAATGTTTTCAATTCCCTATCAACATGAAATTCAGTTACATATCTGTATGTTCAATTTCTGTAATATGCATTGTTAAATTTGCCATCTAGGATTTCCTAGTTTTGTTAGCTTGTTCAACCATCTCTATGCTAGAGAGCAAACTTGAATCCCCCAACACTGTTAACATCTAAGTTAGGCATTGAAAGATGGTTGTCGTGTATGAATCAACTAAGTTTGTTCTGATGCTGTCTTTCTTTCCTTTTTAACCGAAGCCAGCAATGCTGGTGTTATAATATTAATTAGAAAGAGCCTCACTGTATTACATCATGGCAATAATGCCGCTAAATCTTTGGCACCACACAAGCTCCAAGTTTCGATGATGTCTTCCTTTCAGTTCACCCTGGTTTCTTTTCCTCAGGGAATTAAAAAAAAAAACGGCTTCCTGCATATTGTTCGCTTTTGCAGTTTTTTTAGCTATGCAGCCGTGCTTGTTTCTCTAATTTTCTTCTAGCTAGCTAGCTAGCTTACTCTGAACTAATAATTCTGTTTGTGTTGTATTCAGTCGAGTGGAAGAAGAAGCGCATGAGGAGGCTGAAGAGGAAGAGCCAAAAAGATGAGGCGATCTAGGCGATGGAGATTGCTTCCACTGACCTAAGTAGTTAGGAATTTTCCTCTGTTTTGCTTGCAAGCTTGTGCATGATGTATGGTCTTCGTGTAGCTGGTTCTTCAACCGTGTGCTGCCATTGCTACTTTGGCAAGTTTATTTTTTACCACGTGGTTGTTGCTCGCTGCGTTGAGAGCCATCAGCTATATATGTATGTTTGTTGATCTGCCATTGTGCATTGTTGCAGTAGATCTATCATGCAACTTTCAGATGAATAACGTGCTGTAGATGCTCGAGTAAGTACTCACACGGCAAATCGCATGAGGTCGATATCTTGTGGATTCTCTAGTACGGCTGTGTTTAGTTTCATGTCAAAATTGGAAATTTGATTTAATTGGAACGATGTGACGGAAAAGTTGGAAGTTTGTGTGTGTAAGAAAGTTTGGATGTGATGGAAAAGTTGAAGGTTTGAAGAAAAACTTTGGATCTAAACATGGCCTACGAATCGTCGTCCGCAAAACGGAAGAGTATAAATCATTAAAGGAGAGCTCAGCAAAAATAAAATTGAAAAAACGAAATAATAAATAAACGATTAGGAAATCATTAGAATTGGACTCGCTATCTAAGGACTTGTTCGGTAGCCCGTTTCCGCAGCTGTCGCTGCAGCAGCCTGTTCAGTAGCAGCCAGTTCTTCTGAACAAACCCTAAGTATGTACAGGCCTATTTCAAATCCTGATTATACAGAGGCCCATCACTATCCATTCGCTCAGAATTGAACTCTTGGGAAAGAGAAGTTGGTGACGAGCCAAATAAAGGAATAAGTTTATTTTAGGTCCCTCAGTTTGTCACATCTGAAATTCATCCCTAAACTGCAATATACACGCGCCTCAAGTGTCAAAACCACTGCAAATAATGTCCTGAGACGGTTTGGATGGTGGTTTCGACTGACATGACACCTATGTGGCTTTGACGTGACACTTTTTAAGTAAATAAAAAACATAGGACCCACATGTTGGTCACTGTTTGGTTAAAAATTAAAAAATTACGGTGGGATCGATCCACATCACCAATCCCTCCCTATTCCCTCTCCTCCCCCTCTCTCCCCCTGCTCTCTCTCTTCCTCTTTCCTTGTTCATCGGTACCCAAGGGGAGAAGAAGGCGCCATAGCCAACGGTGATGGCGTCAAGCGCCTTGTCGCCTTCCCTTCCTCTTCGCCCGCGAGAGAGGAGTAAGAGCATCTCCAACAGCCTCTCTACTCAGTTCTCCAAGCTAAAAATTTGGCAAATGAACCAAAAACACTCCTCCAACAGACTCTCCATTCAACTCTCCAAGCCAAATACCTCTCCATCCAAGCCCATACACTGGCCAACATTGGCCAGCCTCCTAGGCTGGCTATCCCCTCTCCAGCTCTCCTCAACTCAACCCGTGCTTCTCCTTTCCCTCTAGCTCCGTTGCCACGCCCCTCTTTGTCGTCGGGTCGCCGCCGTGCCACCTCTTCGGCTGCGGCGTCGCTGCCTCTCCCCGTCGCCGCTGCACCGTCTCTCTTCGCTGCCGTCGATTTCCTCCTCCTCCCCTCAGCTACCTTATCATCGTCGCCCATGGGAGGAGCGTCATCGTCGTCTCCTTGCGCCGCGGCCACCATCCACAGGGAGGAGCGCCGTCATCTTCCCCCCTCCCACCACGGCCGCCATCCCCCGAGCCAAGGAGTGCCGACGCCGTCCACATCATCTGCCACCAGCCTCGCATCGCATCATCACTCCGTCCACCACTGGCCTCAACGAGGGAGAGGATTGGAGAGAGGGGAAGGAAGAAGAAAGCTCGAGAGGAAGAGCACCTTGGCGGCGGCGAGGGCGAAGGCGCCGCGGCCGCCCTGCGCAGCCGCAGGAGCAGCGCCGCCGCCGCGGCCGTTGGCAACATGATGAGGGCGCTGCAGACGAACACCTGCCACCGCAACAAGTACGCTGCCGCCGCTGACATCACCCTCCCTAACCCGGCGATGCGCGGTGAAGCGGAAGTAGACGCAGAGATGGAGACGCGTCGTCCTCGGCGGGGAAAGGAAGAGCACCTCGCGAGCGTCGGTGTTGGTGGAGCAGGACACTGCCTTCCTGCCTCCCCGCGCCGCCGGCTTCCAGCGCCGACCCACCGCGATTTCCTTCATCGGCCGCCGCTGTGATTGGGATGGTTGACGGGAAGGAAGGAAAGGGGAAAAGAAGGGAAGAGAAGGAAGAAGAAGATAGTAGAAGCTGACATGTGGGCCCATTGTTATTTTGGAGAGGATTAATAGAGAGTCTGTTAGAGTAAGCATCTAGTTTGACTAGCTAAATCAGATGGAGAGTTGGCTATATGGGTGTTTGGAGAGTCCGATTTAGAGAGGCTGTTGGAGATGCTCTAAGTGAGAATAGAAGAAAGATAGAGGTTGATGATGTGAGTCCGATTGTATTTTTTTTGTTCACCAAACACTTGCTGACATTTGGGTCCCATGGTTTTTTACTTTAAATGTCGCGTCAGTCAAAATTGTCTTTCAAATCACAAACCTTATTTGTATTATTTTAAAAGTTGAGGAACACGTCTTGTGGTTCAGGGACAAACTTTAGAATCGATAACAAATTAAGGGACCTTTAAGTGAACTTATTCCCCAACAAATCAACAATATAAGCTTATATACCTGGGGGTTTAGGAAACATTTTATCTTATTAAAACCATAAAGTTTCATGTAATACTACGGCGTTTTGACATGACGAGTTTTTTTAAAGTTTGCTCAGTTCAATTTGTAATAATCATCTCTCGTTCACACATTTCCATCGAAAGTATCCCCCCATCAATCCCAAAAACCCATAGGCGAATCCACACCGTCCATTCATCCATCTGAAGCAGACGCCTTTGCTTTCCTCCTGCTCTAGGGTTTTGCGTCTCGCGCCGGAGATCTCACCAATGGCGCCTCCCGCCGCCGCCGCCGCCGTGACGCTCGGTGGCAAGGGCGCCGCGCTCACCCCCGCCGCCGTCTACGCCCTCTCCCACGGCCTCGCCGACCCCGCCATCGACCCATCCGCGCTCCAGAGGCTCTCCACGCGCGGCCCCTCGCCGCAGGACACCCCCGCGTCGCTCCGCGGCCTCGCCTTGTCGCCGCCGGAGTCACGCGCCGCCGCGGCGGTGCTGCTCAACAAGCTCCTGGTCACCGCGGGGGACTCCTCTGCCCTCGTGACCGCCGCGACGGCCACCGGCCTCGCTGGGTCGCTCGACCTCGCCGCCGCGCTGCCCCCGGCCTCCCGCGACGAGGCCGCAGTCGCTGCCGCCTCCGCGCCCGTGGCCGTCGCGCTCGCCGCCGCGATCGACTGCTGCGCGTCCCCGCTCGTCCGCGTCGCCGACGCCGTCGCCGCGCTCTCCTGCGAGGCCGCGCGCGGGGACGTCGCGGCCTTTGATGTGCCGACCTCTGGTGATGGTCTCTCCGCCAAGGACGAGGCTGATGTCGCCGCCGATGTCAAGATGCTCCTCTTCGGGTCCAAGCTCGTCGGCGCAGCCGGTGGCGCCGATGCCGCGTCTTTCACTAAGGTGCCCACCGTGAATGGAATCTTCCGCGAGGCAGTGCGCGCGCTGCACGCGAGGGTGCGTATCGAGCTCAACGCTCCAGTGAAGTTGGGAAAGAGGGACGCTGTCCAAACCGGTGAGGGAAAGGAGGAGGCATTGGTTGCTCTGGCAACGCAACTCGCGAGGCCGGTACAGGCAATGCTCAAGCTTAGCGTTGCGCGGGCAAGGCTTTGTGTTGCGAGAATTGATGATGCTGAGCTCCGGAAGAAGCTTACTGATGGTGTTGAAATCGATGATTTGAAGGGGATGCTTGGCAAGGTCACGATTGATTCGGATGCTGTATCTGTTTTGCGGGGTGTGTACAACTCCCTGCTCAAGTTCAGGGATATCCTTGCATGGGAAGCAGCTGTTGCCATGGCGGTGATCGAAATGGATAGTTCAATTGAGAAGCCACAAGCTTGTGAGGAGAATGAGGCGGGCAGTTCAACTGAAAATCCGCATGCTAGTGGAGAGAAACCAAAAGGTGACAAGAAGAGCAAGAAGAAGAAAACTTTGGGGAAGGGTACTTCTGCTGTACTGATGTTGCTTAGGGACCTTGTGACCAACGGAAAGGAGGTTCTTTCGGTGAATTCTGCACTACTTGCAGAGTGGGGAACCGAGCTCTCACTGTTGTTTGATCCAAAGTGTCCCAGATTGGTGTCCCTTGTGGACAAGGTGAAGGAGATTGTTGAGACCAATGAAGTGAGGAGATTGCCTAAAATTCCCAAGGTAAGAATTATGTAATTTGCATAAGGTGTTCCATTTACATTTCCTTGTTTGGCTTAATCTCTATGCTCCAATTGCTTGAAATAAGGTTTCAGAAGCATCTTTTTAGCCAGAGTGCCAGACTGGTATGATTTCACCCTTTTACGATGCCTGATGCTTTTCTTTAATCTTGTTAGGGAACACGTGACTTTGGGAAAGAGCAAATGGCCATAAGGGAGCATGCCTTCTCAATAATAACAGGTGTATTCAAGATGCACGGTGCCGTTTCACTTGATACACCTGTATTTGAGCTGAGAGAAACACTTATGGGCAAATATGGTGAAGACTCAAAGTTGATTTATGACCTTGCTGATCAGGTATTATTTTCAGTCCCGCTGTACACTTTAGGTCGGTAGGTGGGTTAAATTTTGCACTGAGCCTCAATTTATGCTGGTTTTTGACTTATTTTCATAACATTCTTGATTTGATCAGTATTTGTGGGCATGCTACATTCAGCTGCTCGATTATTCATTTCTTTGCATTATTTTCCATAGCTTGTGTGCTCACAGTCATGATTTGATCTTTACACCAAATAATCTGCAGGGTGGAGAGCTTTGCTCTTTGCGGTATGATCTGACTGTTCCATTTGCCCGATATGTTGCTATGAATAACATAAGTTCATTGAAGAGATACCAGATAGCTAAAGTATACAGGAGAGATAACCCGTCCAAGGGAAGATATCGAGAATTCTACCAATGCGACTTTGACATAGCTGGAGTATATGAAACAATGGAACCAGATTTTGAAGTTATCAAAGTTTTAACTGAGTTGTTGGATCAGTTGGATATAGGCACGTATGAGATAAAACTAAACCACAGAAAGTTGCTTGATGGAATGTTAGAGATCTGTGGTGTGCCTCCTGAAAAGTTCAGAACGGTTTGCTCAAGCATTGACAAGCTAGACAAGCAAACATTTGAACAAGTGAAAAAGGAACTGGTAAGTATCCAAACTAACATGTTATGGTTCGTTTATTTGATGTTACTGACTTGATCATGGCCCTAACTGTTTGTCGTGTTGACTTAGGTGGACGAGAAGGGCATATCTAATGAAACTGCGGATAAGATTGGTGATTTAGTGAAAACTAGGGGACCACCGCTGGAAGTTTTGCTGGAATTGAGAAAGGAAGGTAGCAAGTTTATGGGGAACGCTGGGTCTGTTACTGCACTAAATGAGCTGGAGATACTATTCAAAGCTCTAGATAAAGCAAATGCAATAGGCAAGATTGTTTTTGATTTAAGCCTTGCTAGAGGCCTTGATTACTACACTGGTGTGATATATGAAGCTGTGTTCAAGGGCACCACTCAGGTTAGATAATTTTTATTCATCTCTGCACCTCATTTTTAAACTGGTTAGTGTTTTCAGTTAGCCCATCATTTTGTTTATTCAATTGCACACTTGATAAACTGGAAATCGTTCTATATCCCTTCTGTTCTTATCATTCTTATAATTGGAAAGGATGTCCTCGATTACCTTTTTTTTTTCTAATTGCGTAGTCTTTAGTAGTTGATTACAATTTACCAGGCACTGGTTTATATCTGAAAATCTTCCACTTTATTTGTCATCTGAACTTATTTAACACCTTTCTCTGACCGATTGAATTATAGTTGCTTCCTGCTTCCTGAACTAACCCTATTTCCCAACAGGTTGGCTCCATTGCTGCTGGAGGCAGGTATGACAACCTTGTTGGTATGTTTAGTGGGAAGCAAGTCCCTGCCGTTGGTGTTAGCCTTGGAATAGAAAGAGTTTTCGCAATCATGGAGCAACAGGAGATGGAAAAGAATCAGGTACCTAATGCTCCTATCACCTATTCATTCTTTGAATGAGTTGCAATAACATAACAAAATCGTTCCTGAGTTGCAGATCCGGGCCACCGAGACGGAGGTATTGGTGTCGATTATCGGCAAGGACCTCATATTGGCCGCTGAGCTTGTTAGTGAACTGTGGAATGCTGGGATAAAGGCAGAGTTCAAACTCACTACTAGGATACAGAACCACTTGAAGTACGCGACGCAATCTGGCATTCCGTGGATGGTGCTGGTTGGTGAGTCTGAAATAAGCAGTGGAAAGGTGAAGCTGAAGAACTTGGCAGCCAGCCAGGAAGAGGAGGTTGACAGGACAGAGTTTGCTCAGGTGTTGAAACAGAAATTGAGAAACCCATAGAGAAGATTTTTAGAATATAATTTTGTAGTTCATGTTTCAACTTGTGATGCATCATACTTGCCTGTGTGAGTTCCTGGAAAATTCCGTTCGGCGTTTTGATTTATACTGGCTGTTTGAATTGGTTTACATGTTAAAGCGCTTGGTGTAATTGAATCAAATTACCAAATTCAAAACATTACTCTACTGATTGGTGACCAACTCATAGTGACCATGCACATTATTTTCGCATTTATCAGACAAACATCAGCTACTACCTACTGATTGATGACAGACAAACTTATTCTTATTATTCTCGAAATAACCGTCACACAACAAAAATGAGAACGAATTTGTCCAGAAATGCACTCAATTACAACATCATCCTTGCAGTTACAGCATACAAGATGGAAACTTTACTGAACTATACCACGTTTCGCTCCATCCACCGTGTTCTTCAGCAACATCGCCACCGTCATGGGGCCAACGCCACCTGGGACTGGAGTCAGGTGACCAGCAACCTTGCTCACCTCTGCGAAATCCACATCGCCGACGAGTCTGTACCCCGATTTCCTGGTTGGGTCACTGATGGAGTTCGTCCCAACGTCGATGACAGCAGCGCCTGGTTTGATCCAGTCTCCTTTGATCTGGCAACCAAGAAATCTGCAGTTAGAACTGGGCAGTGGATTGTGATGAACCATGTCATAATTTGGTGGTAGAACAATGTACCATCATAGCCTGGCCAGCCGCTGCAATGACAATGTCTGCTTCACGGACAATACTTTCAGGGTTTGGGGTCCGGGAGTGAACAATGGATACGGTCGCATCCGCCTTCAGAAGAAGCAGGGATACAGGTAGCCCGACAATGTTGCTGCGGCCAACCACGACCGCTCGCTTCCCATTGATGGTAACTCCGCTCCGTGTTAGGAGCTCCATGCATCCCTTCAATGAAAATCAAAACATCAAAACTGCAAACGAAAACTGCAGCAGCAGTCATATTCTAGCATTCTGTTGTAGTGTTTCCATACCTTCGGCGTGCATGGTAGGAACAGTGGGTCTCTGCCTTTCATTGCAAGCTTGCCAATATTCAGAGGATGGAACCCATCAACATCTTTCTCTAAGCTGATCTCGTTCAATATCTTTTCCTCATTAATATGCTTTGGCAATGGAAGCTGGACAAGTATGCCTGTTATGACAGCACAAGTTCATTGTCAAATACTTGTGATTGCATCAGAATTCAGATCCATATAGATGTAGTCATATACCTCCAATCAATACCTCAACATTAGGCAGAGGCAAAATCTGAAGTTACAGTGCTGTTTCAGACTAACTCTAGCTTGTACATTATTAAATGGACATTAAATCTAGAGTTAATTGTGTTTACCTGACATCCACGTGGTTAGGAAAATATAAATCACACTTTTTGTAGACAAGCTAATAGATTATATCTAAGCCACTTCTAAGCCCCAATTTTTTTACTACAACATCCATCTTGCATATGAAACAGATAAAGTCAGTCCTTAAGCATGAGCAAGAAAAATAGGAACTACTTTGTTCGAATAGCATGAGGAGATAATTACAAGTTTAGCAGATATAGATCAAAAGGACAAGCTCCTGTAATCAACTAGGCAACATATCTTATGTAATCTTTCAACTTCAAATGCCTGTATCCCGATATCCATTCAAGAGCAGACTTCAAAAGATCACACAAATTTTTCAGTCCAGATGTCAAGCAACAGAGGACTGGAATTGCAGTGTGAATCTCACGATTAAGTACCAACCCCACATTGTAGAGATTGGAGATATCCTTAAATAGCCTTTTCAGTTTCAGATCCAAATAGTGAATATAAACACATACCTTAAATCCTTCAATAACCCCCAAACACATATCACCCTGACTACCGATGTTCCGATTCGAAGACAAGATCAAGTCAACTCCACCGTAGAGCTCATGCCAAGGTACCCCAAATCATTACAGCATCACTATGATTACCTTAGATTCCACCTAAGCCTAATCTAAAATCATCTCCACATCTATCCCACTAACCAGGTAGTACTAATTACACTAGAATGAATGGGGATTATTGTTCTTGTAGTAAGAACGGATGGATTAGATATACCATGGACGGCTGGGTCGGCGTTGAGGCGGTGGACCTCGGCGACGAGCGCCGCCTCGGAGATGTCCTCGGCGAGGTCGACGTCGACGGAGCGGATGCCGACCTCGGCGCACGCCTTGCGCTTCATCTGCACGTACGTCTGCGAGTCCTTCCTGCTCCCCACGATCACCACCGCCAGCCCGGGCACCTGCCAAGAAACACTCAAGCTCTCATCATCTCCAACCTATCCGCCGCCGCAGCCGGCGAGTGAGTGAGTGAGTGGGTGACTTACGAGGTTGTGGGCGGAGGAGAGGGCGGCGACGTCGGCGGCGACCTCGCGGCGGATGTCGGCGGCGACCGCCTTCCCGTCGATGATCTGCGCCATTGGGGGTGAGACGAGATTCTTTTTTTTTTTTTCTTTTCGTCGTCGCGATTGTTGGTGAGAGGTGAGTGGCGGCGACGAGGCGACGGCGACGGGCGGCGAGGTGGGTGGATTGGAGGGGAAGCGGCGGATGTGGGTTAGGTGACTGGGCTCATGGGCCCCACTTGGGTGGGGACGGGGAGCGTTTTGGGCCTTGGGCCGGACGGGCCCTACTTAGGGAATGGGGTGGGGGAGCGTTTGGGACTTGGGCCTGATGGGCCCTACTTGGGTGGGGATGGGAAGGGTGTAAGCCTTGGGCCGTATGGGTCCCACTTGGGTGGGGGACGGAAAGGTTTTGGGCCTTGGGCTGGATGGGATTTGTGGAGGAATAGCCGAATAGGTGGATGAATTTATGGGCCGGACCGCTTTTCCGATAGTTTTGGTTTACAGCTGATGTAAAAGCTTTACTTCTGACAATGTATTTAGGCATAATCTATATTTAGATTCGTAGTCAAGATTCTGGAATTTAGTTTGTTTTTTCATGCTTTCAAATTGGAGAATTTTTTTTCAAAGACCTTTGATAAAATTTGGAGGGTTGAGTTCCATTGAATATAAGTTTGTGAGCCTTTTGTTTTCTTTTCACCAAATTTGTGAATCTTTTTTATTATACCCGGTCCTTAATAACTCGGTGAGTAATCCCTAAGTTCTATATATAAGTTATTTTGGATTTGTTCTAAGTTAAAAAAAAAATAGGTTTGATTAAGTTTGTAGAAAAATGTAGTGACATTTACAACATTAAATAAGCTTTTGAATATATTTTTATAGTATATATATATATATATATATATATATATATATATATATATATATATATATATTGTGTTGGATATATTGTAGCCCTTTGGTTTAAAATATTTGATGCTGTTGACTTTTGGTCATCCAATTTATTAGAAATTCTATGCAAGCAAATATATATGTCATGCTTAAAGTGTCTTTAATGATAAAAGAAATCAATAAGTCCCAAAGTCAGTGACACCAAACATTAAAATTAGAGGGAATACTTTTTCCTACAGAGTTAGTTGAACTTAGATAAGTTTGACTTAGTACAAATCTAAAATAACTAGAGAGAGTGTATGAAAGAATAAAGTTATTCTTTTCTTGTGGATAAGAAGCCTTCGTACCTTAATTGAGGAAAAATTGGAATTTTTTTCTTTAGATATTTGACCAAATAGGATCGTCCAATTTCTATAGAGCTTATCACTAAAATACCCGATAAGGCTAAGCGGAATGAAAAGGATTTTATCTGAGATTGTAGATGAAAACGAGTAGCCCCATACGAGGTTTGGGAATAAGTGATGAACAAGGAATATACATCTTTCTACTAAAGAGGTTTTATTAAACTCATAACTCATTAGATCATTCTTATCAATGTTAACTAGGTAGTTGCGCTGCCGGGCTATGTATATCCATTGTGGATGTAGAGGCCGGATTTTAATCCATTTTCTTAAAAAAAAAAAAAAGGTAGTTGCGTTGCCACAGCTGACAGCTACAAATAATGGACAGAGTGTTTAATTGGTATCAACTTTTTCAAGTTTTGGTCAGACATTTCCCTACTGAGCACTAGCATTGAGCAGTGAACAGAAGCAACTGAACACTTGGCCATTGTTGATGACCATGGATTTCTTGTCTCGAGCAACCGGCCACTGCCGGCTTAAACCGGCCTGCAACCCACTGGTCCCGGCTATATGCTTAATCTTGCACTAGCAGCTGGATTTCTTTTACATAGTTCTAGGCTCTTATGTACATCCTTTTGAGGTCAGGTTTTTAATCCATTATCTGAAAAATAAGACTTATGTTGGATGCATGTGTGATGATATAATTAATCAATGGTGGGTCTGCAACCTGTTAAGAACCTAAAATTCCCTTCCCTTGAAACTTTTTTTTTAAAAAAAAAGGATACATGAGAACACTAACTCTTAACTTAACCTGTAGAATAGAAGCCCTTCTATATCTAAAGTGGATGTACACAACCAAAGAAACCTAATTCCTATGTATAGTTAATCCATCTATATTTTGGTATATTTTTTGTCACTTTGTTGCAAGATGACACAACAACAATTCAGAAAGAATTATTCGGTTCCCCTACGTCGACCAGCACCTAACCAATTTGATCCAACATTTCAGAGCATCATTACCACAGTTCATTATATTGTGATACGATATGTATCGATGTTGATTGATATCAAGAAGTAGAGTTATATCGCTGTTTGGGATGAGGTACAGAAAAATAACTTCTGATTAACACTAAAATATACCTTTATATCTTGTACCTCCCAAGATCGTAAAAGAAGTCATGTTACTTATTGCTAGCCAATGCTTTTTTATCTTAAAAAAGGTGAGTGGAAGCTATATCCCAATTGTGTAGATCTCAAGTCTCAACTCTTTTTCATCATGTTGTCACATCAGATGGCTAGCAATAGTGTATCTTCTTGGCATATCACAGTGGTCCATGGATGGAGCTATCCCTCTGCAATCTCCATTGCTGAAGAGGCAATGATACAATGGATATTTTGGAATGTACCAATCCAATTGATCATTCTAGAGAGAGAAATAGAGAGAGGGGGATGTGATTCTCTCTCATTCTTCTATGTGGTTGATGGGTAGAGGGAGAGAAGATGCTACAAAAATGTACCAAAATTCAGTGAGACTGCCTAGGGAGGGATCGATTTTTCGGCATCACCAGTGTTAGGGGGGAATAATAGCATGGAGAATCAAGCCACCCAATGTATATATCTTCACCATATGCCTTTTAGTTTTTTTTCACTTTCTAGATAGTGCTAGAGGGATCACATGGAGATCTAACACAAGATTTGGACCTGTATGAAGATCAGATTAGGTACACTTCTTTTTCATTATGATAATCAACTACTGCAGGGAAAACCGGAGGAGGGTCCATCAGGGTTTTCAATTTTGAAATTTCTTTATTTTCTGAGGGGGGCCGAAATTTTGGATTTTTTGGCTGAAATTATTTGAAATTTTGACTGATTTTGAATGAATTTGAATAAAATTTGACCAAATTTGCAAAAAAAAAAGGGGAAAATTTTGGGTGAGATATGAGCTTGCCAGTGGGAGACGAAATTTCAGAAATTTCAAAACGAAATTTCAAACCCTAGGGTCCATCAATGATTATTACTACCTTGTTAGACGTTCCACACTCAAAATAAAGTGATGGGGGTAGTATTTCTTTAAAGTGGAGATCATGAAAGGGGTTAATAATTATTTCATTTCCTTATTACCCGAATATTGAGCTAAAATTTCTGCAGAGGAATATCGCTGAAGAACTGAAGATGATCTAGCTCGCTCATGAATAAATTTGCATATTTTTTTAGAGGACAGCGCAATACCTAATATATCACCCACACATATACTCCTTTTTTTTTTCTCTCTTTTGTATTTTTGTTTAACTTGAGAATATGTCGATAATTGAACCTTGAGATGCCGCAGTTTTCAGATAAAAGAGAAGAGGAGGCATGAAAAGGGTCTCTCCTATCAGAATCAGCCTATGGAGATAAGTTTGAGAGGGAAAGAAAGAAATAAAGGTTCCCTTTGCTTGTATTGACATCAAAGAGGCTGAGGTCAACTAGGCATCAAAAAAATTGGCCAGGAACAAAAACAAGGTACATCCATGTATCTGGCCATGTAAAACACCCAATGCATTGCATGAAAGAATGCACGGTGAGAGCATTTGTGGCAATGTGCATGACATATGATTGAAAGCAAATTGCTAGCTGCAGGATTATTCAGATAAGTCTTTGCAATCTCAGGCTATAGCTGCTCCATCCATAACCTCACTGAAAAAAAGTTACTAGAGAAGCAAAGAGAAAAGGGGGAGCAAAAGAGGGGAGATAAGTGACATCAAATCATGCCTTGTTCTGATCAGTGAGTGATCCAAGGAGACGGCATAAGTTTGTTTCCTCATCAGATAATATTGCTCTGTGCATGGCTTTCCCTGCAGTGCATTGTTTGAGCACAGTTATGCTTGTCATGGTGTCATGTTACATACATTGTATCAATCAGGGGATTCTCTACTTTTGCAGGGAAGCATTTCGGTGTGCCGTGCCCTGGCTACAATGCCGACATTTAATTATAAACATGCATGGTACAAACGCACACATATACATCCTATTCCTATGAGCATCTCCGAAAAATTGGACCGATATATCTTGAGATTGACGAAGTCACTACGGGTGCCTCGCTGCTGACGGATACGTCACCTACCACTGAAAGAATAATTAGCCGTAAATACGAGCACCCGTGTCAAGTCTGAACTTGAACCTGGGTGGATTGGTTACACCACTAAAAAACTAACTAGTTGAGTTATGCTTACTCCGCACATTCTTGACGGTTTGATCAAATCTAGGTATTTTTTTACCTATTTGGAATATATAAATTCTACAAAATAATTTATTTATCGTGATATTTTTTTAAAAAAAATAAGTTGCAAAGGATAGATTAACATGATCAAGCTTTTCTCTTGGTCCAAAACCCATGGCACTGATGCATACCCAATGTTTTTGCATTGTGTTCCCTTTTTTAAAAAATAAATCCCTGTCTTGTGGTATGTTTGTGCATGGAAGGTTTATACCTAGTGTTCCTTTTTGCAGATATAAATCCCTATGTTGAGGTATGTTTCTGCAGGGAAAGGTTTATGTCTTGTGTTCCTTTTTGCGGATATGAATCCCGATGTTGATTTGTAACAGTAAGGTTTGCTCTCTCCGTTTATTTTTCCAAAGAATATTAGGAAATGCAATCATATTTACATGGAATCACTGGCCAACTAATCATTTTATTTCCTCCTTTTTGGGGCAATGAGCTTTGCTAATTGTTATAATGCCATGTTCCTCTACTTGTCTTGTGTTTGGTCAAATGGCTAGTCAAGTTCAAGCATACAATATTTAGTAGGTGGTTAGAGAACAATTAAAGTTAAGAATCCTTTCAAAGGAAAGCAAGAAACAAAGGACAAAGAGAGTGTACCCTCTCATGGAGAAGTGTTCCATTCTTTGGTATAAAAATTTGAGATCTCCAGTGTACCACCATGGCATTATATTGTGATCTTCCTCTGTTGTTTGTTACTGGTGTTGCTCTTGTGGAAGAACATTGGTAACTGATGTGGACAAATCTTCTCCTTGTTGCTTTCTCTTCTAAAGGAATCTTACCAACTTTCTCAACGTTGGGTTGTGCAGTTAAAGCTAGCTGGACTCAAAGTAGAGCCCATTGAAATTTAATTTTTCTCTGAAAAAAAGAGAGGCATTTATTATGCTGGTATGTTTGCTAAACATGAAAACTACTCCCACCGTTTCAAAATGTAGAAACTTCTAGCATTTAAATCTTGTTCCAGAATATAAGAATTTCTAGTAATATTCGTAGTATTACTTATCAAATCAATTACCTCCCACTCAAAGTTGCTCTTATTTTACCCACAATTATTCTCACCTTCACACATCCTTATTTATTGAGTACTAAAGTATTTTCTTTTCAACCTTAATCTGTACTAAACAATTTAATCTCTACTCCCTCCGTCTCAGAATGTAAAACTTTCTAGCATTGTCATATTTATATAGATGTTAATGAATCTAGACTCACATGATTTATACCATTGTCTACATTCATATAGATATTAATGGATCGCATTGTCTACATTCATATAGATATTAATGAATCTAGACACACATGATTTCTAGCATTGCCCATATTCATATATATAGATGTTAATGAATCTAGACACACATGTCTAGATTTATTAACATCTATATGAATGTGGGTAATGCTAAAAAGTCTTACATCGTAAAACGGAGGGAGTACTAAACAACCTATAAGTACTAATATTTTGGAACGGAGTTACCCCTTTCACAGAAATTAAATAGAAAAACAACATATAATTTGCTTTAACCATATTTAGACCCTAGCTATAATACGATGTATTTTTTTATATAAAAGAATATTATACAAAAAATTCTCGCATTCCAAACAGGGACGGAGGGCCGCTATCTCGAACTGTGGTATATCAATAATTCAGCTTTCTTCCCCAGCTTAGTTCCATGAAGATCTTATGGGCTTTGATTTTGATTAAACAAGTGAAGTTGGAGTTAGGTCCTACCTGTTGATTCTGCATTAGCGTTCCTCTCACATTGTTTAATTTGCATCTCCAATCAATCCATTCTTTTAAGGTTTATTTATAGTGTCCGTTCTAATCACGTAGATTGAGCCCGTACAAATGTTGTTTATTTTTCTCTTCTCAAAGTAATCCATGCATATCTTTAAAAGGTTTGTATTGGTTTCTCTGTCCAAATTAAAAATGGTGATTTTGATTAGCTGCTCGAAGTCCATTAGTGGTTGCAAAAGTTCCTTTCCAAGCCACCACTTTTATGCTAATATAATTAAAATCTAAGTTGATGATTTTTTTTATTGCACGGTAGACGTGCAAGCATACCCCTCATTTTACTAAATTCATTTTGAAAACTTATTTATGTATGGATAATATTCATGAGTATCTAGATTTGAAACCCGGTGAGTGGAGTCATACATCATGACTCCACCACCACCATATCAATAGTGCTTCACAAATTATGATGATTTATTATTCTTTCATGTTCTCCAACTTTACTGAAATATTGCAACATGAAAAGAATTTTGCAGTTTGACTGAAATATTGAGCCCCAAAATATAGTTCAAATTGAGATCATTTAGGCTTGTGCTCAAGGTTAGGTCAAATACCCCTCTTTGAGTTGCCCTCAAGTTGAGACATGGCACACATATTTACATCAAAATTCTTGTGTCCTCTGATTGCAATGACATTCTATTTTAGAGGAATATAATGTAATATTATTTCTTGGGGCTGCTCTCAGTAGAGCAGACGGCAGCAGTTGACATTCTTGTTGTATCTATCAAAATATATTCTAGAAAATAGAATATACCATTTTTTCCCTTCAATTTAAGGCAGTTATTCTTACAAGTTGCCAATAATTGAAACAGCATAAATTGCATATCCATTCAATGGTAAAATCTCTTAGGCCCTGTTTGATTCAGCTTAGGATTATTATAATCTGGATTATTAGAAGTAAACTGAAACAAACAAATAGATTATTATGATAGATTATTATAATCTATAAGCCAGATTACTATAATCTAATAATCTTCTCTAGAGGAGCTTTTTTCAGATTATTGGGTGGCTAAAGACCCACTACCCTTAGATATCTCCAATAATCCAGAGAAACAAATAGCTCGCAGCTTATTCTATTTCAACTTATTATAATACAGCTTAGAGTAATCTGATTTAATAATCTAGTTTATAATAATTTTAAGCTGAAACAAACAAAACCTTAGTTTTTTTTTTCTCATTTGGAGTTTATACATTTCCTTTCCTTGGCAAAACAAGGTTTCTGAAACATAAAGCAAAGTGATCAATTAAGCATGGTTTCTTAATTATATCGAAATTTGATGGTGCAATGAAGGTTGACACTCTTAGTTCCACTTACTATGACCACTCAATTATTTTCAGCTACATTATCACTACAATATATACATCAGGACATCCAAATTAATTTTTTTTTGTCCAATACAAAAAAGGCTCCAGCTTATAAATATAAGTCCCTGGATGGATGGCTACAATGTGAGAATATTTGTAGCAAATGCTGCTTAATTAACACAATTAAGCACTCCATTAATTAACTCAGTAATTAATTAACTAATTAATCAACTAATCGATCCCCCTCTCACATGACGCTGCATGCGTTGGCGTTCTCCTCGCTGAACATGTAGTACGACGACGCCGGCGGCGGCGCCGCCGCCGCCGTCGAGTAGAGGTAGCCGCCACCGCCGCCGCCGCCGAAACCGCCGGCCATCGGGTAGTAGTAGGCGCTGCTCCGGAGCGGGTGCGCCGTGCTGTAGCTCATGACGTACGGCGGCATGTGCCCGCCGCCGCCGCCGCCGTAGTAGGACGCCGGGTAGCTCATCGGCGTCGCCGGCGGGTAGAAGACGCCGCCGTCGACGACGGCGAGAGGACCCGCGTTGCCGGGGGACGGTTTCGTCGGCGCGTCCTGCGGGCTTGCCTCCACTACTGCACCGGCGCCGTCTCCGGTGGCATTGGCGGCGGCGGCGGCGGCATTGCCGTTGCCGTTGCCATTGCCGCCACCGCCACCGCCACCGCCTTTCTTTCCTTTCTTCTTGCCACCGCCGCCGCCTCCTCCTCCACCGCCATTGCCATTGCCGGGAGGTGCAACGGGCTGCTTACCGTGCGGCGTCATGGCGAACGGCGGCGCCACCGCACCGGCGCCGCCGCCTTGCCCGTCTCCGGCCACCATCGTCTTCGGGGATCCACCACCACCGCCCTGCTTGTTGCCCTCGTCATCGGACGCCTCATCACACGAGCCCCCATGGTCGTCATTCTCCGGAGGGACAGAGCCACCTCCACCGCCGCCGCCGGCGGCCACCTCCGCCGTCGCAGCAGGCGGCGCCGGCTCGCCGGGCTGGCCGTTCGCAGGATTCTTGTTCTTGTTCTTATTCTTTTTCTTCTTCTTGCCGCCGCCGCCACCGCCGGGAGAGTTGGCCGCCGCTGCTGCCGCCGGCGGCGGCGGAGCGGGCTCCGGCCATGGCTCGGCGTGCTTACCCGTCTTGACGAGCTTCTTGACGAGCGTGTCGACGGAGACATTGCCGATGACCACCACCTTCTGATGCTGCACGTCTATGTCCGTCTTGTACACCCCTGAAAATGTTGACGATCAAATGTACAAGTGCAACCAAATCAGTACATATTTGTTTCAAATCAGTATAAATTTCACTGGTTTTTTTAATATAAATTTGCTCAAAAAGCATTGTGCTAACATTTCGATTCAGATAATGTAAGCATTGTATGACCATTATGTTGCAGCTAAATTTGAGACAGGGAGCAGAGTTTTGTGGTGAGTTTCAGAGTATGGTTGTAATAGGAAACAGGGGATGAACATAAAAGAAATTAATTTTCTGAAGATAAACAGTGCAGGTCTGCAGGATTGCAAATAAAATGATATCCTTGATGAGATTCTTCTTCCGTACATGTATCATTAGCTTGATAGTAACCGAACTGTTTGAAATTTAATAGGAGTACTGTCCATGGGTAAAAGTAAACATGCAAAAATAATTGTAAGAACTGAAACACTTCTCTATAATAGGAACATCAGGAGCTATATATGCTTATCAAGGAGCATAAATGAAAGTTTTGAAGGTGTAATTTTCTCACTTCAGTTCTGTGATTTCCTCACTTCAAAAAAAAAAGAGAGAGAGAGGAATCTTTCATGATTTTTTTTTTGTTGCTACAACTCTAAAATAGAGAACATTTTTTTGACGATCAACAAAAAAAATGCAGTTGTATGAAGTCATTCTCTTATGTCCTTCAAAATGTTCTGATAAGATGTGGTAATAACTAAAAGATTTCTTCAAAGTTGTGTTTTGTTTTTACTCCATCTATACCTTCTATGCTATGTAGCACCTTCTTGACCTTCTTCTTGCAGCCCTCACAGTGGATGCTAACCTTCAAAGCCAAAGTCTGGAGGAGAAAAAAAGGAGGAAAAAGAGCACAAACCAAAGACAAAAAGAACACCATCAGCATCTTCCTACAAGCAGAAGAATGACCAGTAGCTCTGCATATCTGCCAACAAGATTGCAAGAACCCTAAACTGCTTACCTGATACTTGAGTGGCTCTGGACCTTCTTCAGCAGCTGCCATGGCTGGAGACAGAGAGAGAAAGAGAAGTCTGAGAGAGATGATGACAGAAGTGAGGAGAAGAGAGAATATAATGTTGTGCTAGTGTCTAGTATTGGTGCAAGTATTTGAGGGAGTGAAAGGGGTCACCAAGAAGAGAGAGAGAGAGAGAGAGAGAGAGAGAGAGAGAGAGAGAGAGAGAGAGAGGGGGGGGCAGAACAAAGTGGCAATGTTTGGCCCTGAGGAGGGACATGACTAAATAGCATCAGAGAGCAAAAGGGAACAATTCTATTGGTTTTCTTTTGTATTCTTTTCTTTTTCTCTTTTTGTTTTTTGGGAGGAGGGAATGGTATTGATGAGGTATTTATTCCCCACATCTCCAGATGCCCAAGAAAATGCATTCACAACAATAACTAGCCTTTTATCTTCTCACTCTCCTGGTTTTGTTTGAATGTTCAAGGTACTCGCATTTTCTTTTTTGCGACCCTGTTTGGAACGCATGAATTTTCGCAGGAAACAGTTCTCAATTCATGTGTTTCAAATAGATCTGAAGGACACATCTTACTCCAACCGGTCGTAAATATTTGATGCTTAGCAAAAGATTCAATCAACCTTTTAAAATTCTGACCATCAATAGTTTCTCAAATATGCTTAGTTTGAAAACAAAAGAAATGATTTATGTAGATTTACCTCGAAAAGTACTATTTAAATATCATAAATTTATTCTAATATAAAATTAATGGTCGGAATTCTAAAATATATATGATCAGAGGGAAACTATGAGTACACAGCTACATGCAGCGACCATTTTATCTATTGTCTAAAAATGTATTCCCTCCGGATTGATAATACTTGTCGTTATAGATAAGGACACAATCTCCAAAAAGTAACTTTAACAACTATTGTCTATTATAATTTATATAGAAATATTAACAAATATATGATTTTGTTGAAGTACTTTTTAAGACTAATCTATACATATGGTTTTCATATTTCTAAGATAAATATTTTAAATATTTATAGTTAAAAATTCTAAAGTTTGCTTCACCCTTGTCCAAAACGACTAATATTATCAGTCCGAAGGGAGTAATCAAACGGAATTTCTACATGCTTTTCATCGAGAAAAAGCACAGAAGATGTATATGCATGGGGGTTGCACTTGCAACCCAGCAGCATCACATGCAAAGTCCATAATTTGCCACACCTACATGAGAAAAAAGGGGATGTACTATGAACTGCTATCGCCTCGGGAATTGAGGGCAATGATAAGACAGACAGCAGAGGAAGGCCCTCCCCTGTCTTCTATGCTAGTACTCCACTCCAGTATGCAAACCTGGAAGAGAATCATATTCATCACCTTCACATCCTCCTGCTATCTATACGGATATGCAATTATGCACAAACCATGTCAGTGAATGATTCTCTCAAGATAGCTGATGTAAACAAGCGCGCAAACACACACATTTCTTTGCATTGTGAAGATTCTTTTTTCTTACCTGCTGAAGCATGGCTCGTTCCAGTGGATTGGATGCATCCTAGAGCTCTTCAGATTGTGCCTGAATGTTGATGACAAACTGAATTTTTCTCTCTGTCAAGAAGATCCATACAATGAGTTTTATGACCATAATACTCAATCTTCAGAATGCAGCTGAGAGGTGATGAACTGTTCAAAGCTCACTTTTGCAGTTCTGAAGAATCAGAAGTTCAGAACCCAATCGTCAAGAGTGTGCCTGAATGTTCAAGGCACACTGAGCTTTTCTCTGTTTTTTTTTCAGGAAGATCCATACAAACCATACACATTGTGACCATGACACTCAATCTTCAGGTTGCAGCTGAGATCTGATGCTGCTCTGCAAATTCCAACTAGATGTGATGCAAAACCATCTACCTTGCAATTCTGAAGAATCAGAAAGTTCAGAGTCCCCAATGCTCAATGACACCATCATCCCCGCCGGGATTTCAGCAATGCCATGAAGCACCGGAGTTTCCTATCCAAGAACGGCGGTGTCTACCTTGTCTGCTCCTCCGGCCGGACCGGAGCTGCCGCCGCCGCCGCCGCCGGCTGATCGCCACCAGCGGGAGCGGCGGCGGCTTTGCCTCTCCCTGCACCTCCGAAACGCCGGAGTTGGGATCGATACGAAGCACATAGCGGAGGCGCCGCAGAGAACGGCAGGCCACCTCGCCGCAGCTGAGCGGCGGCCGCCCTTCTCCGGCGGCGGCGGCGCCGTCTACGGCGGAGACGACGTGGCACGTCGTCCACCGTCCGATCAGGCGCCTACGGCCCAGATGAATCCGCGAGATCCCTCGAGGGCACCCTGAGCCACTGACAGCGTGGGCCCACATGTCAGCGACAGAATCGCGGGGTTTCTTCCTCCTTTTCCCTCGCGCGATTCGAAACCAAAAACGAAACCCTCGCCGCCGGGGCCATCCCAATCCTCGCGGCGAGCGGCGGCGGCGGCGGCGGCGGCGGAGGGCAACCGATTGTGGCCGGTCTATCCTCGTCGGCTCGCCATTCCTTCTCGCCGCGCCAGGTTCGATCTGACCAATTCCCCAAGAATCGTTCGACCTGAATCGATCGACGCCGCGTGTTCCTGCCATTTCGGCGTGCTTGATTCCCTCAAAATGGTTTTGGTCTAGGGATCGTGCTTAGCTATTGGTGGCGGTGCTCCTCTAGCGGCGGGTTCTCGACGGCAGAATAGTGCGTTGTGAGGGAGCCTCGGTTTAGTTGGTTCTGGGGATGGAGGACGGCGCCGCGGGGGGCGATGTGTCCGCCGACCGTGTCATCGCTGAGTTGCTCGACATGGGGTTCGAGTTCGACGAGATCAGCCGAGCGATCGGTGCAGTCGGCACGCGCTGCGCCGATGTGCTGGAGTTTATGCTGGGTGGTTCAGGCAATGGGAAAATGAAAAAGGCGAGTAGGGAAACACGAAGCCGTAGTTGTGTCTCATCTAATGCAGAAGCACGCCCGAGTGATGATGGGAACAAATTGGTTAATCCTAGGAAAAGATTAAAGCAATCGAGCATTACCGATCATCTTGCATCGAATACCGGCTGCAGAAGGGGATCTTGTGGTGAGAAAGCTAGCACGTCATATCCCTGTTTAGCGGCTTCCGATGATCCTAGAGCGCCAGTGGCAGTCAGTGCTGATGTGTGTTCTGCATTGAAGCCTGAATCTCAATTTTTGCTTGCTAATTCAAGAAGTGAGTCTGACCTCGGACACAAAATTAGTGCTGTTCTGCGGAAACACTTTGGATTTTCCTGTGTGAAAGGATTCCAAAAGGAAGCTTTGGATGCTTGGTTTGCTCACAAGGATTCTCTTGTTCTAGCAGCAACAGGCTCAGGTATTCTTTAAATAAATGCTTTGCTCTTTATCTTTTTGAGTAATTTGGGGGCTTCCTCCATTGTTATGCAACTAGCAGTTTTGATGTGATGGTTGAGTGGCTGTGTTGCCAGGAAAATCCCTTTGTTTTCAGATCCCGGCTCTTCTGACTGCAAAGGTTGTGGTAGTGATTTCACCATTGATTAGTCTAATGCACGATCAATGTCTAAAACTTGCAAAGCATGGGATATCTGCATGCTTTCTTGGTTCAGGGCAACCTGATAGCCGTGTTGAGGGCAAAGCAATGTCTGGCATGTATAAGATTATTTATGTTTGCCCTGAGACAGTATTAAGGTAATCACTCTGCTTTTGGACTGATGATTTCCTAATTACGTATTGCTGCACTTATTTTGGGAACTTATTTACATGTAGGCTTATGGAACCATTGAAGAAACTTGCAGAAAAGCCAGGGATTGCACTTTTTGCTATCGATGAGGTTCACTGTGTTTCTAAATGGGGTCATGATTTTCGACCGGACTATAGGTCTGCTCTTGTGTTCGATATCCTCTACTGAAGGTGCATGTCATTGTTTACATTGTTTTTTCTACCACAATTAGTAAATTTATATGTGCAAGCCTTCACTGAGATGTTTTTCTCTTGGTACTAAAAAACTAACATGTGTCTGCCATACTTTTTAGGAGAATGCCTTATATTTTCTTGCAGCATCTTAAATCTCTACTTTATTTTCCACATACAGGAGATTATCTGTGCTTCGAGAAAATTTCAGTGCAAGCAAATTGAAGTTCTTGGAGCATGATATTCCTTTGATGGCATTGACTGCTACTGCTACCATCCCCGTAAGAGCAGACATTATCAAGTCGCTGAAAATGTCAGAAGATACAGTGGTCGTCTTGACATCTTTTTTCCGGCCTAATCTCAGATTCAGAGTAAGTCAAACTTGAAACTTCTGAATTTGTTCTGCTGGTTTCCATTTTTATGTTCTTTCTAGAGGATGTGTAAAAGCAAGTAGAGAACATTACATTATAATATGCTACATTAAATTGTAAAAAGTTTAAATTATTTGGCCTTTCTAACAGTTTAGCTACATGTAATTATGTTGAATGACCAATATTTTATTACATTTTGTAAATAGATGCCTCCTTGCAAGTAGATGGGCACCTGGGGTGTGCATTTCACTTAAAAGATGTACTACATCAAAGATATGAATGGTTAGCTTTGCTAGAATTGAATCTGTATTTTGGACTAGTATATCATGTGAATTTGAAATAATCTTGTCCGGGGCTACACAAACAAGTTTCCAAACTGCTCTATTTTGTTATTGCCTGATGAATTGCCTTACTAAAAATTCATAGTTAGATATAATTTGAGAAGTTTTATAGAACTACCTACTGTTTATCTTATGCCACTGTATTAAACTGGGCTTCTTAGTTCTTACCCTCTCCCCTCCCCCTCCCTCATGTTTCTGGTTGCAGGTAAAGCACAGTAGGACCTCAGTCTCAGCTTACAAAAAGGACTTCAGAGAACTTGTAGTAACATATAATGATTCAAGGAATTTTAGGGGGAAGGGACAGAAAGCTCTTAGTGAGATCAACCCTGATTCTGAAAGCAGTTCATATGAGTCTCCGGATGATGCTATGTCAGATGATGAAGATGCAAATGTTGATTCCATGAGCCATGAAGATAATAGTTTTGGAAAAACTAAAGTCGGCATGCCCTTGATAAATGAAAATGCTGAAAATGAGTTGGATGTATATCCAGGAGTAGATGATTTTGATGGTAATGGACTATTTTATATGACTTTTTTCTTTTGAGTGGAAATTATCTGCTTGATCCTGAAAAGAAATACTGGTTACATTATTTTCGAACATAAATGTTTCACGGCCAATGCTTATGTAAAAAATTATCATTCTTTTGGGGATTTAAGATCCTTTGATGGAAATCATATGTAAGCTTAATATGGCTATTGGAAATTTTGGAGGATATGTGGTAGCAGTGCTTTTAATTTCGTCATTTTGTAATTTCATGTATGTATCTGATTGACATGCTTCTCTTGTAGTTACATGCGGAGAGTTCCTTGAGTGCTCGTGGCCTGAGAACTCTGCATCTTCTTCTCAATGCAACAAAACTGGTTCCAGTTCCTCAGAAATTGCTGATCAAGGTCCTACCATTATTTACGTACCCACCAGGAAACAAACTGTGGAGTTAGCAAACTATTTGTGCAAAACTGGTCTCAAAGCTGCAGCATATAATGCGAAGGTAAATCTTCTTTGATTGATTTGTGTGGCAAATGATACTTGATCAGTAGGGCCCATTTCCTGATATATGCTAATTCTCTAGAAGCAATCAGCTTTTTTGTAACTTACAGTACATTTGATTATATTTATTTCTTAATTGCTATTCACAGTCCTGTAACTTGTTTTGAGCTATTTGACTCTTTTTTCAGATGCCTAAATCACATTTGAGACAGGTGCATCAACAGTTTCATTGCAATGCCTTGGAGGTAATAATTACTTGTTTCACTTCCTAGCTTATATCTTGCCACTGCTAGGTGCAATTTCCATGTGCTCATATGATGGTATACAAATTTAGTTTGAGAAAACAGTATGCATGAAAAAGTGATAATGTTAGAGCAAGTTACTTCTCTGTAGAGGCAGTCAGATGTACTTCCACAGTAACATATTTTTGTCTAGGAGATCTTGAAAATCTTGATGTCTGGTGTTGTACTGTTCCATGGTTACACAAGCTTAGAGGTTAACCAGTGTATTTGAGTTTTGAGACACTTAAAAGTTTTTCAACAATCCAACAAGGAAACTTTCCACATTTCTATTTGTTAATATGATACAATCTTGGATGGATGACTGCTATGGTGACTGATTTTTTAGAAGAATGTTGTAGAACAAATTCATTGTGTACCATTCAAATTCTTGGTTGTAAAAGTTCTCTATATTTTCTTCATATCTCCGTCTCTTTGTGAACCCTTCAAGCCTTTATCCCAACTCTAATGGCCTTATCCTCTTTATATAGGTTGTGGTGGCTACCATAGCATTTGGCATGGGAATTGACAAATCAAATGTCAGGAGAATTATTCACTATGGTTTCCCACAGGTTGGTTTAACCTTTAGTGCTTCATTCACGAAAATACATAGAAGCCTCTCTAATGCTGCCAAAGACTTGCTCTGACTCTGATGATGGCAGACAGATTTCCACACTTGAACCTGTAGGATGCCAAGCTAGAATGTAACAGTGATGGCAATTGAAGGAGATACTGTGTGCAGTATGAAAATTGTAGGAGTTGATTATACATTTTCCTTCTTCTTGTTGAATGGTGGAGACAATATTCAAAAGGCTTAGTGTTGGGTTGCATTACTGATCTGCAACATGCAGAAACAATATGGCTTTTGTTCTCTAAGAATCCAGATACATCCCAAATTGGATTAATTTATGTTTATGCTTCTTTTCCGTGAGTTTTACTGGTCAGAACTTGATTGATGCAGAGTTTGGAAGCATATTATCAAGAAGCTGGCCGTGCTGGTAGAGATGGGAAGTTGGCGGATTGCAGTGAGTTGTTATACTCCATAGCTCATACTTGCTATAATTAGGAAGCTTCAATTATTTTCTTACTACATCCAAAAGTAAGCCACGTTGTTTCGTATTATAAGAAAATAACAACTTGCAGACAAGCATAATGTTACAAGTAAAAACTTCAATTATTTTCCTACTACATCCAAAAGCTTCAGTTATAAGAAAATAACAACTTACATCCAAAAGGCTTCGCATGCCTTATTTTTATTAGGAAGCTGACCGTGCTGTTAGTTTAGAGTTTTGCTGACATCTTATCACCCATCTATTCCTTTTCACGCTAAAAATCTCCTGTTGTTGTCTTCTTATTCAAAGTCATCTTACAAACCAAAGGTTGTATTAATGTTAGTATTAATGCACTACTTTTATGAATAATTATTAGGCCTTGCTTTAATTTTCCATTCAACGTGTCACTTGTTTTTATTTTGAGATTTCTATACATTTTACATGCAGCTCTATATTGTAACCTTTTGAGAGCACCGACACTCCTTCCTAATAAAAGAAGCAAGGAACAGACAAAAGTAGCATACAGAATGCTACGTGATTGCTTTCAGTATGTATCGTAACCATATGTTCAAATTCTGGTAATGTCGTAATATGTATATTTGCTAAAATGTTTGGCAACTAAACTTGATTAATGTTTATTTATATTTTCTATGTTGCAGTTATGCTTTGAACACTTCAATTTGTAGAGCCAAAATATTAGTAAAGTACTTCGGGGAGGAATTTGGTCCTGATGGATGCCGCATGTACTTTTCTCTAATTTCTCCATGTCTCCTCTCCTTTAATGAAATAATACATGCTCATTCCAGTTTCATGTGATGCGAATTTCTTAATGGTATGACAGTAGTATCACAAATATTTAAAAGATGTTCTGTAATATTGACATGAGGGGCTGTGGGCTCACACGTTACTGCAAAAAATATTGGTCGTTGTGGAACTTGCATTTTTAACGGCTCTATTTCAAATTTATCTCATCAAGCATTTTATGAGTCTAACTGACTTGTCACCTCAGGTGTGACATCTGTATTAATGGCCCTCCTCAAATGCATGATTTCAAGGAAGACGCAGTTATGTTTATGAGTGTGCTCCAAGCTCAAAACGTGAGTTTATAATTATAAATTACCCTAAATTGTGCTGAACTGTGATGGATGTGATGCCCATTACAAGTTGAAGTATTTTTTTTTCTTTACAACCTTAGTTATGTGACTTTGATTGGTCATTTTATTTTGTTGCATCCTCAAGCATATCTTAATAAATCCAGGGACAAGCAACGGAAGATATGGGTTGCAGCAATATACCCCGTTATATATCTGGAAGGCAAAGGTTTGGGGAGGTTCCGAATTTCAGAGGGGTGGTCAGTTATATAAGGGAAAAGGTTTGTGTTCTCGTGTATTTCCCATCTCCTATTTATGAAATCGGGAGCAATAAGCAGGGAATTTGCCTTAAGGATGCAAAATAGATTAATAAAGGTTGCATGATAGGCTGATAGCAACACAAGTATTTGAAGTATCTTTTGCTCGACCATAGCTGCTGAGTAGCAATGCTAAACCTCAAATCTGTTGTCTTGATTAAATATTGTTTATAGTTTCCTAGATTTGCCACAACTGACAAGGTATGGTGGGAAGGCCTTGCTCGCATATTAGAAGGCAGGGGATACATACAAGAAGCTGCTGAAATTGTAAGTGATTTACTTCAGTAGTTTGTTGCAGATTTATAGTTCTTTTTGTTGTGAAGCTCGTGATGTACCTCACACCTCAGTTTATATTGTTCAGATAGTTGAATGATGGGCATACTGAGATCCAAGTAGGGATAGTGAATATTTCTCTGACATGAGTTGGACATATGTAATGTTAAATAATTTCCTTGATTAATTAAGTGAAAATCAATTGTATCCATATACCATTAACATGTTTAAAAGATAACCCATGAACTACATGATTTGCTTTGATAAAAGAAAATATAGCATGCATCTCTAGGGACTATTTGGAGGATTGCATCTTCCATCATTTTTCTACTTTAGTTCAGAGATTGAAATCCTAAAGGTAGCCTGTTAACTATCATGGATTATTGATAATCACCAAAACTAGCTTGTTACTGACATCAAATGGACACAAATATCAACCCTGAACTACATTCAGTTTTCAGAAAACCAACTTGCATGTGTTTTGTTCATTTGTAATGGATAAGCCCAATCTAGATATAACGGTTGTATCACATGGTCAACAAATTCAATTCATCAGTGGATCATCTATGTGTATCACACCGGTACTGCATTATTGAGTCCTCATTGCTTTATTAAAAGGACAGATAATCCTGAATAGAGCCAGGACAAAATGAGTTGCTAAGAAAAAAAAACTGCTTATTTGTTTCCAATATTATTTCCGTTTTATCCCCCGACTGATTAATGGATCCGCTTTCAGCCTCGTGTTTTAATCCAGTATCCTGAGGTGACAGAGGCCGGACTGAACTTTTTGAGTATGCAATCAGAAGAGGAAGGTTTATATGAATACCTTAATGCTGCTATGCTATTGGTAATGAATGACCCAAAACCTATTTCTACATCTTCCGAGTGGGGCAGGGGTTGGGCAGATCCTGCGATACGCCGCCAGCGTCTAGCAGGCAAGAAAATGGGGAGAAGAAAAGGAAAGAGGCATTCTCGGAGCCACTCTACAGGTTTCACCACTGCAAGACAGAGATTAGCTGAAATACTCTCAAAACGCAGAAGATAATACAGAAACTATTGAGATGCTGGGATAGCGGGATGAAAATTATTCATCTAAGCCTGTTACTACTTGTTTGGTTTTAGCTTGATTTACACAGCTTCTGTGGTTATTTGCTGCAATTTCCTTTGTGGCGTATGAATTTTTTTTCTCAAGGGAACAATATGAAGTAAAAAAATGATGGGGATTATTGTATAGCACTGTTTTGGCTACCCATCTGAACATTGACACTCCATCTGAACAAGAATTTCCTGATGTGATTTTAAGGAGGTACAGTTCCGTTCCCAGATATTATTGCCCAAGGCTGATTCATCTGAACAGTGATGGCATCACATCAGTTTTCACATCAAATCCCCGTAGGGTTTTGTCAACAATGTTCACTCTCACTTGTGATCTTTTCAACCAACAGGTGGATCTGTGTGGATCCTGGAGTGCCAAACTGGAACTTGTTTTTCCCAATGGATGGTCCAGTTAACTCCAAGTGTTAGGAAGATATATCTGACAAGGTGATTGTGTTGTATACTGTTTTCATACTGTTCACTTGCCTGAAATGAAAAATTGTTTGGCGCAGAGCTGCTAAACCCTACCTCGTGGCAGTAATGCAATTTTTTAATCCTGCCGACGAGTGACACGAGTACGATTCTGGCACTGTGGTGTTTTGTTTTTCTCTCCTTTTTTCGACATGGCAATTGGCACTGCCACGGAGTATGGTCTCACAGTGTTAAAGATGCATACGGAATATAGGAGTAGAGCTTTGTTATAGAATCTAATTAAACTAAGAGTAAATTATACTCACGGTACTAGGTGGGTGCAATGAAAAGCCTGAGAATGAAACAGTGTAATAACTTGACAAGTGGGTGTGCTCTGATACAAGAACTTGAGAATGTAACGTCTAAGTGCAATAACCTAACAAGCGGGTGCAGTTCAATATAAGAATTTGATAATTTAGTATTTTGGTGCAATAAGTTGGCATAGGTATGTACTACTTTGATTAAGAGTGCTATGTAAGTTGTTTCACGATATCAATATGTCATTACATAGCAATGTTTTGGATATTATCATTGATTTAATCTGCAAGAATTATGTTCATCCATTTTTAGAGTCGCTCATCCAATTTTCACCATCGGTTTTGAATTTTTTTTTTAATCTTCCACCATCTCAACTTAAAAAATTTCTACACAATAAATTTTGATTGACAAATAAGCATGCTTATACAAATCTGTATAAGTAAATTAACAAAACAAGTACTTAGAAACTGAATGCGTATAGCCGAAAAATCTTATGTTATTGTACCAAAATTACGCGCACCTTTCAAATTGTTTTACCCATACGTTCACTTATTAAGTTCTTGTATAGATTGCATCCGCTTAACAAGTTGTTATACATGCTCATTTCTCAAGTTTTTACATTAAATTACTTCCACATGCTAAGTTGATTATCGGGAATGCAATTTATCTTGACGTGGTAGTGTTATTCTTGCATGTAAAGTTCAAATATGAACTTACATGACATATGGACTTTGTTTAAAAATAGAAGTCTTTAACACTGATGTACTGTACTAAATTTATGTGAAGAACCAAAAACGTAAAGCATTTGCTTCCACCTTACTACACAATACCAGTTTTGATCTCGAGGTATAAAAGCTTTGACCAATACTCCTACTATTTTTCAGAGTACTCAATTGTGAATCATGAAAGTAGTACTCCTATCATTTGATTCCCAATCAAAAGCACTTCACTATATCCATTCGTTTAGCATTTTGCTTACCTTTCATGGTCGAAATTTGATCCATAGCTCTCAGTCAAATACATTTACACAACAATTACGACCAAAACTTGAATTTTAAAACTTAATGTTAAAACTGATTCTGAGATCCCTGCATTAGCTTCTAAAATGAAAATAATACATATATAAAGCTTTATTCATAAATTATTATTAAATTTAAACTTTTTGGTAAAAATTTATCAATATAAAATTTTACTTTGTTCATTTTTTTTTACCCAACCAATCAGACACTACCACATCCCCTAGCTGCTTGGAAGCACGTTACTACACGGACGCGGAAAAAAAAAGGAAAAAAAAAGGTGCATGTGCATCAGCATTATTAAATTCACTGTACCCTCTCCAAACTCCAAAGGCCATCACGCATCACCACCTTACGTATATCGGTACCTTTTATTTAATCGTTCCCAAAAAAAAATTAGAAATTTAGAAGAAAGAAAGTGAAAAAAAAAAGCTGGACAAGTCGATGATGTTTTCGTGAAGGCAGGCCTGAAAAAGGAGCCGGGCCCACAGTGTCAGACCAAAGAGAGGAGAAAAATAAAAAAAAGCAAGAAACACAAGCCTGGGGCAGTGACGTCACCCAGGGGTGTTTTGGTAATTTTACCGTGCAAATGATTTGGTCAATCGGATCTGGACATCCGGGCCCACCTCCTACCTCCCATCATGCACTCCTCTCCCTTTTTATTTTCCCCTCATTTTTTAAATCTTTTTTAAAATGGATAGATTGCACTTGGGGTGTGGAGAAAAGGGGATTTAAAATGGAGAAAAAAAAGTTGGAAAAGGAGGGGGTTAAAAAAAAGGAGAAAATGATGGGCATCATGAGATGGGATGATGCATTGCAGAGTGTACTAGGCCTGCCTCTCTGTAGCCTTTTGCCGGCCAAAAAAATGGGAAAAGTGAGGGGCTCCCATGAAAAGAGCAGATGGCAGGATGCCATCTAGGATCATCGATCTCTGCCTACAAAGGTCATCAGATTCTACTACTACTCCGTATGATTTCATAATAGCATTTGGGTTTTATAGGGTTTGGATGAGATTCAAACTTTTGGCATCATGGTTTCTCTGGATATGATTTCTTGGTTAGCATTTGACTAATTGCTCTCTTACATCCAGTGTAAGATATCCGATCCGAGCTATATAGTCAGGCTACCAGATGACGGATTATCGTGGACACACTTTTAAAGCTTATGATATGTTTTTTTAAAAAAAACTTTCACCAAACTGATTTGGGTAGAGTTACCACCCCCTCACGGTTTGTGGTTATCGCGAGGTATATCATGGTTTTAAAAACTGATAAGGTTACCACACATGATAACCATGCGATAATTGTACGGTCTTGCAAACCCTGTCCTGTTATTAGCTTAGGTGCTACATAAATATTGTAAAAAAAATTGGGTAGGAATAAATTTTTAACCACGGTAATATTATCATTCAAAATATAACGCGGTAAATTATTATTGGAGTGAAGTGCACGAGCGGTCCTTAAACTTGTACGGATATATTATCTAACTCCCTAGACTCTTAAGATGTATTTTTTGATACCAAACTTGTTATGGGTGTCATATAGGCCAGACATGACATGCCATGGTGACGCCTATGTGTTAGTGGGATCCACATGTCAATCGCATAGAAAAAGTAAAAATTAAAAAGAGAGGAGAGATGAGAAAATATATTTAAATTTTGAAAAAATAAATTAAAAAGAGAGGAGAAAATGTGCGTTCTTAAATTTTCTATATGTGATTGACATGTTTGTTCCATTAACACATAGACGTCAAGCACACAAAGCAAGTTGAAGTCCGTTTGGATCTAAATGACACTCAATGAAAGTTTAAAAACCTAAAAATACATTTTGAGAGTTCATCAGCCTTAGGGGGGGCTTCTGGAAACTATAGAATCAGCTCACCTAAATAGTCCAGTTTTTTTTCTAGATTCTGAAAAGCTGTAGTTATAGAATTCAAAAAAAATAAACTATAAGTTAGAAGCTTCTCCACATTTTCACCAGCTAACTTCTTACTGGTTGTTTCTCATAATCTCAACCTCCCCTAAACAAGACCTTAGATAACACACATGCACAAGTTTGAAGATTACACATGCACTTTACTCTTACCGCTGGCAAGATATAAACGGTGACACTGGGCCATGTTCGTTTCTTCTGCAAGCAGAAGATTAAATTTTGGATACTCGTGGCACACTTTTTAAACGGTTAAAGGTGCGTTTCGTGCGAAAACTTTCTATATAAAAGTTGCTCTAAAATATCATACTAATCTATTTTTTAAGTTTGTAATAATTAAAACTCAATTAATCACATGTTATTACCATCTCGTTTTACGTGAAACACTTAATTTTTATAAACATTTTCATCTTCATCGTCTAACGGGAGAGGTACCCCGTGTGACCAGTTTCATCTCGGCGAGCAAAATTATGACAAGCCGATAATTTCAAACTAAATATACTCTAAAGTTTTTTAGTGAAAAAAAAAAGAGAAAGAGGTTGCACGTTGGACCGGTCTTCTGAAAACTGCAAAAAGGAGAAGTGAAAAAACGATTCAGGACCATCTCCAAATCCCGTCAGTAAAGCTAAACTCTTAACGGTGATGAGCAGTCGAACAGATCAGGGAAAAAAAACCCTGCAAATTCTGAGCTCGCGGTAAAAAAAAATTCAACCCGGACTGACCTAGAAAATTTACAGCAGTACTCCCAGTTACTCTGGCTGCTTCTGCTGCTAATGTTTGATCCGATTTGATTTGGATCGGGTTTAATGTTAGATTACGCGGTTCGATGGCTTAATTAAGCATTAATTAGCTTAATGCTGGGACCAGTGCGTGCTGCAGTATTTTTTCACGGCTCTCGAAGATTTTGCAAAACACCACGTACTTCGAGATCACCGTAAAAAAATAAATTATGAGTAATTAGCAGGACCAGTAAATATTCTAGTTCTGCCCACTGACATGGGCCAGGATTAATTAAAAGATAAGAATGGTTATGCTTATCATCTGATGGAATACTATATTAGAGGGGTTAGGACTTAAGAAGTGGTATATTTTATTTTATGCGGAGAAAAACCTTCTTAATTTACAGCAGTTTATATTTAAGATGTAAAATTCATTTTCTTAAGTAAGAGGGAAATGCAAAGTGCAAAGTAGATAAATGTGAAAAGTTTTAATGAGACTTGTTTTTAAATATTTAAAATCAGTTTCCTTAATTATAAATGGGAAATTTGCAGCTAACAAAAAGTGTTGGATCTTTGTCTAGAAGTTATATTTAAGATGTCAAATCTTTTTAGTTTTTATTGCATTGTTCCCTTTATAGTTGCCCTTAAAACCATTGTTTTCCTTTGCATTTTAGAAAAAAATATTGTTAAAAGTGTAACATAGAACTTTTTATCCTAACAAGTGTGCATTGAAAAAAATTATCACTGAGTACATTTTAAAATTGACAAGTACGTTGGGCTCAGAGTAAATAGTCTAAAAAAAATCCTAAAACACGATACTAACCCATATACCGATATAATCTCCGTAATACAATCTCAATGCAAGTTTCCTCTTACATTAGTCAAAATATCTTTAGATGCTAACTAAGGTATATATATATTTTTTAAAAAAATGATGTTAACCGAGATTAACATTTGCATCCCTCTCTCTTTTTACCGTGAAAAGTTGTTCGTAGCAGCGAGAGAGATTGGTTTGCAACAGTAAAAAGGCGGCGAGAATAAAAACTTCTCGAGATTGGGATTTGAGAGAGAATGAACGAGCGAGCAAGCAATCAGGTCAAAAAAGGAGAAAGTAAAATTCTTTTGGTTAATTTGTATTTTAAAATTTTATTTTTGGGGGAGGAGGCAGGCCGTTCTGTGACTGGGGCAGTAAAAAGGTAGAGAGGCCCATGCGCCCATCACATGCTGCCGTGGTTGCCCCCACTCTGTGGTGGGACCACCCCCCAAAATAAACCAGGATCTTCTCTAAACAATGGGCTCCAATGGTCTCTCATGTACCATGGGCTACTATGCATAAATGTTGGAATTTATAATGACATTTATATAATGTAATTACCACTTATGATGGAAAGAAGTCATGCTAGTTGTTATCTTCATGTGTGATGTGATGAGCTAGTTAAAGATCATATAAATGGTGATGAGGATCCACCTATAATACAAAAATGATATAGACATGTACGATAATTGGAAATTCTATCCAAAGATGGGAAATCAGGAAAATATAAGCAAGAATATTTTAAGAAATAAAATAAGAAAAATACGAATTGACTACAATGGATCAAAACAAATCGAGAACCAAGAGTATGTCAATTAGTCGAATAATCTTTCTCAAACCCAAATTAGTTTCATCTCGAGAGGATGATGTGTTTCCTATACCACTAAATATAATTAATTCTAATTCTCTTTTTTCTTATGAAATAATATCACCTCAATTGCTTTCATTTAGATCAATTTATCTATGGTGCAAATTGTCCATATATCTCATGAGCCATGCATATGCATATCATCTTCATTTTGTCTAGCTTTTTTTTAGCACAATCACCTCAACTCATTTTTAGCATTCTTTTCTCTTATGAAGCGACATCGCGATATCATTTATATTTCAACAGTTGGATGTTCTATTTAGATGTTATTGTGTAAAGCATGTGAAATCAAATTGTCAATGTACAAATCAATTCTATATTGTACATAATGTTTACATATTATTATATAATTTTCCGCATAAATGCGTGGGGTTTCATTTAGTATGTACGATGTTCAAGTGAAATTGTTTGGTTTGTAACAAGAAAGCATGATTATAAATATTTTTGGTGTCAAACAACCGGACATGTGAAAATATTGACAATAATTGGATGAAGATAAATGTTCATAGAGAATTAACACATAGATGCACTTGAATAAAAAAGAAACTTGCATGACTTGGTATGAAAATATAGGTTAAGAAAAGGGGCACCGATATTGTTTATGGCCAATACACCATATCATGATTACCTTTATTGTTTTTTGTGGATAAGAAGTGAAAACCAACATTCTTTTGGTAAGTCAAAATAAAGTTATCTATATTTAGCTATGCTACACCTCGCTACTTTTCTCGTATTATGCCCCAAATACAATAATAGTATAACACATATGATAACATTAGATTGAGAAAAACAACAATGGCATAACCAATTTCTCTAAACAAATAAATGACATTATTACAATCCATAATCCCATATAACACTAAGAATTGAGTAGCAATGATCAAATATCGGCATACTTGCTCATCACCATAAACCTAACCTAAACACACAGCTCACTCCACAAACAATCCCATCACAATTGGTCCAAGCTAAGAACAAAGAGGCACACCCCTTCCTACCCCCACTCCTATCACTATTCATCCCAACATTTTCACCTCATCATGCTCACTCCCCAAAAACTTACCCACTGAAAAAAGCCTTTCAGCACAAGTAAATAACACTAAAAATAAAAATAAAAATAGAATAAGTATTGAGGCAGGCAGAGAGTGATCACCTCCATGAGATGAGCAAGAAAAACCAAATATAAAAATAAAACAAAATTTTTATTCACAAAACAAGTGAGAGAAAGAGAAAGAGAAGAAGAAGAAGAGAAGTACTACTAGTAGTAGAGAAGTGAGAGCAAGAGAGAAGAGAGGAGAAGAGGAGGCTTCACCTTCCCAACCAAACCCAACCTCGAGCACAAGCGGAGCAGATGCCGCCGCCGCCGCCGCCGCGCGCGCCGCGCCGCGCCGCCGGGTAGCTCAGCGCAAAAAAGCCACAGCCGCCCGCCCGCCCGATCCGTTGCAGCATGGGGCGCGGCGGCTCGCGCGCGGCGTGCGCCGCCGCGGCGCCGCCGTGGCACTCGCTCCCGGACGAGGTCTGGGAGCACGCCTTCTCCTTCCTCCCCGCCGCCGCGGACAGGGGCGCCGCGGCGGGGGCGTGCAGCTCGTGGCTCCGCGCCGAGCGCCGGTCGCGCCGCCGCCTCGCCGTCGCCAACTGCTACGCCGCCGCGCCGCGGGACGCCGTCGAGCGGTTCCCGTCCGTGCGCGCCGCCGAGGTCAAGGGCAAGCCCCACTTCGCCGACTTCGGCCTCGTCCCCCCCGCCTGGGGCGCCGCCGCGGCGCCGTGGATCGCCGCCGCCGCCGACGGGTGGCCGCTGCTCGAGGAGCTCAGCTTCAAGCGCATGGTCGTCACCGACGAGTGCCTCGAGATGATCGCCGCGTCCTTCAGGAACTTCCAGGTGCTCCGCCTCGTCTCCTGCGACGGCTTCAGCACCGCGGGCCTCGCCGCCATTGCTGCCGGTTGCAGGTGAGGTGGAGAGTGTTGTTTGGGTCAAATCTTTTTAGCTAAATAAGCATGGGATCTTTGGGTTGTTCTTGGATTTGAGAGGAATCTTTCACGGCCCAAGCTTTGATTCGTCTTCTTTTTAGCTAAAACATGACAGATTTCTTGGTGCCATTTCTTTCTTCACAGTGTTCTTTAGTGAGTTCATGGTCTAGCTGAAGTGATTTGTTCTTCCATGATTCCTATATTAACTTTGTTTTGAACTTCATTGAGTAGTATGTGGAAGTAGATGTGGCTTTCTGCTAAGATTTGATCTATTCTTGGTGTTTAATTTGCAAAGGGACAGTTTTTTTTTCTGTTTACTTGTGTATGATCTGGATTTACTTTTGGTGTTTCCTAAGTTGAAGACCAAGAAGTCTTCTTGTGACAGTATTTTAGATGCTTATAACGTGTTAATGTCAAAGGAATGATTCCCATGAAAATTCTGCTGTGATTTGTACATTTTATTAGGAGTTAAGTAACAGAGTGAATTGAGTGATGCTCACGTCTTCTTTAAATCTTAGCTATGATTTGTTCCTAGGAAGCTTTGACTTGTATTTGAGTGCCTGGTTTGCGAAGATGTGATTCTCTTGCACGGATCTGTGTGATTGACAGAAGAAATATTTCTACCTGTTTAAGCAATGATGGATCCATCTCTTTGTTTCTTTTTGTGCTTTTTACCCAAAAGAATGGGATATTTCAAGTTTACAAACAACTGGTGATGCGCCTTTATAATTTTGGGCTTTTTTAAAAGAATGTATTCTTCCCATCATGAGTTACTAGATCTGAGTTGAACTGTTTTCCTTTATATTTTCCTGATATTTAAGTGAATTTGTTGAGTTCCTATCCTGATTTGAACTTCCAGATTCTAAAGAACCAGGTCTTTTAAGCATGTTTTTGTCATGTAGATTCCCAGTTTATCCCCTCCCCCTCCTTTTGTGCTCAAGAATCTACTACCTTTTATCTTGCTTTTGGTGAGGGAAAGTGATTTTTGCTCCAATATTTGTGATGTCCTCATGTAATGGACAGTTAAAACAAACAGATTTGTTCTTGCGAGTATCTTCTGGACTCCCCCCAGAAAAGAATTAGGAATGTGTGGGATTCCTATCATTGGGGAATTTATATCCTAAACCAGATAGAAGGATCTAATAGTGGGAGTTTCGATCCTGATTCATCCATTAGTAGTAGTTTAATATGCCAAAGCAGTATCATTTGCATCATTTTGAGGAACTCGAAACAGTTGAACTGTGAAGTTTAACTACTGTACACTTCAAACAGGCAGATTAGAATAGGTTGTGAGATAACTAAATTTGGTTCGGTGATCGTATAAGGCCATATTCTTGGATATTAGGACGAAATGAGCCTGAGCACCACATGTGTACTTGCTGATGGTTGAGAACTTAGCATAGATACTAGTTTTTATGCTAGACTAGAGGGCTACTGGTACATTCACTTGTTTGATAAATCCAGATGTATTTAAGTTTTGATTCAAAATATTTTGACTCTAGATTGGAGACTACATTTTAGAGCATTCAAAATTTACAATGGAAGCAGGATTTTAGCAAAACTATTTTCATACATTTACTCTGTTATTGAGCCAGAATCATTTTTTAGTTCTTGCTACTTTTTTGTTAACACTGTTATGCATGTAAACTCAGCGTTACATTTATTTCAATTACAAGGATCTACACTTGTAGCTCTGGGTGCAGATGGTAGTTAACATTGATGAATCTTAGCTATATCGAAATACTATCTTCTAAGTACAAACTTTTCTTGTGTGATTCTTATCCTTGTTGTTACTGTTGCTACTTATATCCATTGATTGAGCATGCTTTGAATTACCTTAAGAATTTCTCTCTCCAGTCAAATTTATTTGACTTTGAGAGAACTGTGTTTATTTCTCCCAACGTCAAATGTTTTGAATTTTGAATGGACAGAGTATGTAGTAGTGGGCAGCACATTGGTGCCCTAGCTGCAAATAAAACCTTTTTTTTTTGTTAAAACAATGATTATGAGGATGTCGGTTTACACTGTCCACTCAGAAATTTGACTTGATTATGGATAGGGTACACCTTGTTGTTTTAGATGGTTCCTTCTTAACAAGATGCTAGATTTTGATGATTTGATTCTTTACAAGGAGTAGTCTAAAATACTGGAAGTGTCAACTTAAAAAGTTCAAACTTGCCCTAGCCATACGTGATACATTAGACAACTGATGTGCTGTGTTATCTGCAACTGACAATTATTGTTGTTGCTATCTCCTTTTTTTGCTTTAGAGTAGGCAGGTATTTTGTGTCAACTAAAAGTGTGTTTCACGTGTTGCCTTTCTTAATACCTTTTGAATAATAGGGTATAAGAAAATTTTCATGAATGGTTTGCTTTCCAATTGTTGATGTTGCTTTCCTTCACCTTATTTTTTAAACCACCATGATTAATCTATTTATCTAGGTAATATTGCTCATGCTGATTCATGATACGTGGTAAAAAAATAGGTCTTTTCAACTTTCAGAGGCTGCTGGACTCCATTTATTTAGTTGATTTTGATCCCTACACCGATTTTATCCATTGGTTTATATTCACTGCTAACATATGATACTCGCTATCATTTACTTCACTGTTGATCATCAATGTTTTAATTTTGACCATTATTAACTTTTATATGATTAATTTAGTATTAATGAAAGTTGTGCGGTTGTATTTATGGCATGACACACATTTCTAACATGGCATACTTTTAAGCATACATAACTTTTTTTGTAAAAAGGACAAGCGATCAAAGGTAAAAAGGTGAATAGCATACAGTGAGAAGTATTTGAGACCAAAGGGAGTATAATCATTATCTACTAAACAAATACAATACCATTCATTATAAGCTGAGTTCGCATAGTGTAATTGAAAGTGGGGAATGCTAGTATAGCTCACACATGAAATCAAGTCCCTGTGAAATGATAGTAAACCCTACGTGTTCATTGTTTTAGTCTTATGATATGTTCCAGTTATGTTTGCCATGGTTGTTGAATGCAGTAGTCAAAGTTTGCTTCTGTTTGTTTGAGTGGATTCTCATTTACCTTGCCTTTTCCACCATATACTCATATGGGCTTTGTTTCACAAGTGATAACATTGGTTAATGGCTATATGCTATCCTTACAGTTTCATTCTTCTTTTAAGATATGAGTCACCATGCACATTTCTTCAACTTCTGATTTTGTCTAATATTGCAGACACCTAAGAGAACTTGACCTGCAAGAGAACGAGATTGAGGATTGTTCTATTCATTGGCTCAGCCTCTTCCCGGAATCGTTCACTTCTCTAGTAACTCTAAACTTTTCATGCTTAGAGGGGGAGGTCAATATCACTGTACTTGAACGGTTAGTGACCAGATGTCACAACCTGAAGACTCTTAAGCTCAACAATGCTATCCCCCTTGACAAGCTTGCTAGCCTCCTTCATAAGGCTCCTCAGCTAGTTGAACTCGGAACTGGCAAATTCTCTGCTGATTACCATTCCGATCTGTTTGCAAAGCTGGAGGCGGCGTTTGGAGGTTGTAAAAGCTTGAGAAGGCTTTCTGGGGCTTGGGATGCTGTTCCAGATTATCTGCCAGCATTCTATTGTGTATGTGAAGGCCTCACATCACTTAATCTGAGTTATGCTACTGTGCGAGGTCCTGAGCTCATCAAATTCATTAGTAGATGCAGAAATTTGCAACAATTATGGGTATGCAACTCTTGTCAATTCTTTTTTACTACTATGTATTCATCCCATTCGAATCTGTTAACTTTTGAAAAACTGTTGCATATCTCTTTGCAATACAAGCACTTGATTCCCTACAAGTGGATTTTGCAAATTTTTTCTTTTCTTCTGTGACCTCCAGTAAAAAAGTTCCTGATGTTTTCTTACTTATCATGGTCACTAGTAAAAGTCCGACTACATGTATTCTTTTTTCACAATGTAGTTTTATCAATTATATTGGTATAGGGCTGCAATAGCATTTTATGATGAAACTGACTGCACTTTTCCCATGACAACAAGAATTTGTGGCTTGGAATAATCTATTGAGTGTTAAATCATGCATATGTTTTTCATGTTTGTCAATACAGTTTTGTAGGATGCATGTTACATTCAATGGCATGCTGTTGGGTGCCTCCAATGAATAGATTGAAATTACCACTCTTATCTTTTGGGGAAGTAGGATATTTATATGGAAAAAACATAGATGACAATGGTATCCTATCCTTATTAGAATCATTGTGAAAAGACTGCCAGATGAATCCATTTGCTCTAGGGCAGCATTCTTTGCCTTTCTTGGCAAACTGAGTTATTGTCTGAACCCTCATAGTTTCCATCCTTTAACTGTTAACTGCTAGATGAGTTGCTTGCTCTACGGCAGATATTTTAAACTGAATTATGATCTGAACCCCAATGGCTATTAACCTGGTCATGTTAGCTCTTTATGCAATCTTTTTTCTCTATATTTTTCTTCTAAAAGTTAAGCTGCAATTTTTCAGGTGATGGACCTCATTGAGGATCATGGTTTAGCTGTTGTGGCATCATCTTGCAATAAACTTCAAGAGTTGCGGGTCTTCCCTTCTGACCCTTTTGGTGCAGGATTCTTGACTGAAAGAGGTCTTGTTGATGTCTCTGCAAGTTGTCCAATGTTGGAGTCAGTGCTCTACTTCTGCAGACGGATGACAAATGAGGCACTTATTACCATTGCAAAGAACCGTCCCAACTTCACTTGCTTCCGCCTATGCATCCTTGAGCCACACACTCCAGACTACATCACACGGGAGCCTCTTGATGCAGGTTTCAGCGCCATTGTGGAGTCATGCAGGGGCCTTAGGCGTCTCTCTATCTCAGGCCTTCTCACAGATCTTGTGTTTAAATCCATTGGGGCACATGCTGATCGTCTTGAGATGCTTTCAATCGCCTTCGCTGGGAACAGCGACTTGGGCCTGCATTACATCCTCTCAGGCTGCAAGAGCCTGAAGAAACTGGAGATCAGGGACTGCCCATTTGGTGATAAGCCATTGCTGGCGAACGCAGCAAAGCTGGAGACAATGCGATCCCTTTGGATGTCGTCGTGCTTGTTGACCCTGGGCGCATGCCGACAGCTTGCACGCAAGATGCCCCGCCTTAGTGTGGAGATCATGAACGATCCTGGAAGGTCATGCCCCTTGGATTCGCTTCCGGATGAAACACCTGTTGAGAAACTGTACGTCTACCGGACGATCGCAGGTCCAAGGTCCGACACACCAGCCTGCGTCCAGATTGTGTAGGGGGCAGTATGTGCGGTATCGGTATGCGGGTGTTATGGAGGTATTTATTTTCAATCTCGATTAGTACCTTCAAACACCTTCCTCGCATAACATAGAATTGTTTCCTTCCAAGTAGAAAGGCTGATGGTTGGATAGACTTGTCATGATCTCTACTCGGCTACAAAACTGTTGCAGGTGTAGAATGAAAATTCACAGCCTTTTTCAGGTGTTAATAACTGTAGGAGGAGACTGGATGAATTACAGAAAACTACTAGATAGCATCATGAGAAAACTTCGGTTTGTTTTCTTAGCGTGTTTAGCACTTTGTATGTATAAAAATATGGCATCCATTTGTACTGTACTAGTGGAAAATTTGTATCTGGAGCTGAGCTTTGTCACTTCTACTTTTTTGACCTAAATTATGAATTGTTGTTGCTTCAGCATGTTGTGAATGTTTAATAATTATTGGCCTGTGCTGTTCATCATCCATTTGATATTACTTTATTTGCTGCAAACTGTTTAACATACTGGCTTGGTGATAACACTTGGAAGCTGTGCCCAACTATATTCAGGCTCAAGTTCACAGCTTGAAGCCTTAAACCTCATCAGGACAGTATGAATTTGCTCCTTAATTACTGTACTTGTTTACTCTTTGTTTTAAAATACAGGACATGGAAATGCATGGACTCTAGATAATACTCCTATTTTAAAATATAGCGATCTAGGACAGATTAGGGGACCGTCCAGATTTATATCACAGGTTGTATCTAATCTGATCTAGATTATTATATATCCTAGATTATTATATTTGGGTTGGAGGGATTATATGATATGCATAAGCAAGCAATGAACCTGGTAAAAAATAATTGATTACCTGGCTCTACCCAGCTTAAGAATTGATTACCTGGCTCTACCCAGCTTAAGATAAGCAGAAAGGGGAAATGATGAGGGGATCTTCATACAGCTGGAGCAAGTGTCATTTGACTACTTGTAAGTACATGTAAGTTCATCCACTTTGTTAGGGTGTGTTTAGTTGAGGAAATGAAAATTTTTGGATGTCACATCGGACGTTTGACCGAATGTCGGAAAGAGTTTTCGGACACAAATGAAAAAACTAATTTCATAACTCGGCTGGAAACCGCGAGACGAATCTTTTGAGCCTAATTAACCCGTCATTAGTATATGTGGGTTACTGTAGCACTTATAGCTAATCATGGACTAATTAGACTCAAAAGATTCGTCTCGCGATTTCCTCCCTAACTGTGTAATTAGTTTTTTTATTTATCTACATCTAATGCTTCATGCATGTGTCCAAAGATTTGATGTGATGTTTTTGGGAAAAAAATTTGAGGAACTAAACAGGGCCTTAGTAGAAGAAAACCTGCGATCTTCAATGATAACTGATAAACAATTCCAAAAGGGTGGTCAGTGCTGCCTAGCTTAGCTTGATACTAGGAACCTAGCACAATATATTTTGGTCATGTTTGGGGGAAACAAAGATGTAATTATCAGAATCTCTCCTAAACCTAAACAGGGCTTTTGCTTCTCTACTACACCTTCCATCTCAAAATATAAGTTTATTTATGTATTCTGTATTTAACGGGTGATCGTCCGTTTTATTTAAAAAAAATATAAAAAATTAAAAGAAATAACTCACACACAAAATATTATACATGTTTTTATCATCTAATAACAACAAAAATACTGATCATAACAAAATTTTAAATAAAACGGATGGTCAAGTATTGAAGACAAACCCATAAATAAACTTATTTTGGAAAGGAGTGGAAAGGAGGGGGTGTAGTAAAACAATCGCAGTAATGTACTTTGTGGTAGCATCTTGCTTGATCTGTCTCTAGCTGTGACTGAGTCATCATGCTCAAAGCTACCTACTTGCATCTGCTGCCTTGCATGGACAGCTTGCTTGATCTTCCTTCATTTCGCAAATCTCGACACATGGATAATCCCAAATGTATCTACTTCATAAATTGAAAAGAAAGTAAAAGTTATATTCATAGGCAAGCAAATCTCGACACATGAATCTCGGGAAAATGGGCCGTATGGAATAGCACAACCTAAAACGAAGGGTCAAACTTAAGTACTACTACTAGCATGAGATGAACACAATCATTTTGGCCACAATTAATTATAGTGGGCACTTTGCTTCTGACTAAGGCATCGTTCGTTTAGGGGTGATAGGGGAGATTGGCTCTCGTTTGCCGCGCGTACGCTTTTCAAACTACTAAACGGTGCGTTTTTTACAAAAAATTTCAATAGGAAAGTTGCTTTAAAAAATCATATTAATCTATTTTTGGAATTTAAAATAGTTAATACTTAATTAATCATGAGCTAATGGCTCACCTCGTTTTGCGTATCTTCCCAATCTCCTCAATCCCCTTCTCCTCAAACACTCCCTAAAGCTTCCTTTGGCCACAATTCGGTCAAGATGCAACTTTGACCTTTAATTCCGATTGCAAATTATCTCAAAACCCCAATGAACTATAACACCGTGAAGTACTTTAGATATAAAAGTTGGATATAGTTAAAAGTATTTGATGTTTGAAGTTATTAAAGTTTGACATGGAATTCAAAAAGCAACTTGTTTTTTGACAGGAGAGACCTATAGTAATATTGATTAAGGCTTCATCCTAAATGGATATTCGGTTCGGCTAACTTCACAATTTGTAGAAGTTTCTTTTAAAAAAATAAAATATATCTTTTTAAGTTTGTAATAATTAATACCCAACTAATCATGCGTTAATAGCTTGTCTTGTTTCACGCGTTGCCGATAACTTAAGGTAAAAACTGGTTTGAGTTTAAGCCTAAGGTCTGATTTAGGAGAGTTTATAGCAGCTGCAGGTTCTTTCAAAATCCCTAATTCCCAAAACAATCTGAATTCTTATATAGTTATAGAATTTAGTAAATAAATTAGAATCCAGAAACTAAAAAAATCCAGTTGTTTTCTAGATTCTTAGAAACTTATTACCAACCAATCATTACTCAGAATTTTAAGCTCTTTAAACATAACCATAAACTCGACGGTTTCTTAGCTTCTCATTAATTAGATACTAACATATGCTTATCTGAATCTCCAGCTCTAAATCATTCTAATGTTCTTATTTGTTTCATTATTAGATAATAGTACTAGTAATATGATGAGAAATGAAAGCGGACAAAAAGGTTAGCAAAGCCGACACACCCCTTCCCTCCCTTCCATAGTTCCATTCCCCCGCCCTGACCTCTTAATTACTCCCTCTCTCTCACACTCACACTCCCCTACTGCTCTATGACCATTCCTAACCTAATAACTAGGATAATATTAAATAAACTGACATCTAGGATAAAAAATAATATGGCAAGTGAATAAACGAGAAAAAAGAAGAAAACCATGTCTTGGATGAGACTTAGTTTCTACACAATATCTAAGATATCATGTGAGATAAGTAGCATTAAATTTAAGTATGGAATAGTGGTGTTTGCATTGGAAGAGTAATGTTTAGTACTAGTTTCTCGATGATGTGGAGTTTATAGAAACTATGTCTAGTGTCTTGGGTTGAGAATAACCTTAATTCTATCACTATTCACTCCTACTCCTCTAGTAGCAGTGGTTAGCACTTAGCTCTCGCCTAATGCTGCTCTCCGAGCTTAAGCTTAAGCTCAAGCTTAACCCATCCTCCTCTCCTCTCCTCCCACTCGCTCTCTCTCCCGCAGCGTCAGCCGCTTTGCCGCACTAGCAGCAGTAGCTACTACTACCAAGCAAGCGTAGACGACAGCAGCAGCAGCAGCAGCCTGCGCCGCGATCCCACCCACCCGGACGAGGAGGAGGAGGATTTTTTCCCCCTCTCTCCCCTTCGCTTTCCTGGAGCTTGAAGGATAGGGATCGAGGAGGAAGAAGACGAATCAAGAAGCAAGCAAGGTTGGTTTTGCTAACCTCTCGCTGTGCTTGGGGTTTGTTTTCTTGATTGGCTTCTTCGATCTGGGTGACGGGGGGTTTCGTCGATCTTGTTGGTGGTGGTGGTGAGGGTTTCTTGGTCTCTTCTCCGGCGGCGGCGGCGGCCATGGCGATGGCTGGGCTGGCTTCGTGGAGGGTCCGGCTGCTGCCTCCGCCGTCGCGGGATTTTGGGTGTTACCCCAGCGCCTGAATTTGATTAGTGTGTGGGTTTAACTTCAATTAATCATACGCGAATTTGGTTTCTGGATTTTGCTCTTCGTCCGGGCTGTGTTCTTGATTTTATTTTATTTTTACTGCGGCGTTGCATTGATTGGGTGGAGCTGAATCAGCCGTTCTTGCTGTCCTCCGGTTGTTCCATTGACTCCGCTGCTCCGGTACCGATGAGCTAAGCTGTGAGCCACAATTGTTCTGGATAATTGCATTGATCTCGTTCCCGTACGATTGTTACCGCGAACGCTAGCATTCGGTTTATTGCGTCTCTTAAATCCGAGAATTATGTCATCATCTGCAGCATTGCGAGTACAAACAGATGACACTTTTCCTCTTTATTTATGTAGTACTGTGTTGCAGCAAGAAGAGGATAGCAATGGCAAAAGAGAACTTAGAGAGAGAGAGAGACAGAGACAGAGGAGATAGTATGAGCAAAAGCAGTTCTCAACTCTGAACATTGATAGCTTCATCTTCATAGCTTGATAGAATTATATCCGAGGTATGTGCCTCTTCGCGTCATCGGTATATGCTGTTTTTGTATCATTGAGGGAACAAGATATGATCATTCTCCACCTTTTCGGGTTGCAATTACCGACCTGTAATTGTGACGTAGTTTCTGAGTGCATTTTTTTGCTTTCTTGGTGTGCAGCTTGCAGGCATGTACAAGAACCAGCTTCAGGAGCTTGCTCAGAGGAGCTGCTTCAATCTGCCATCCTATGCGTGCATCCGCGAGGGTCCAGATCACGCGCCACGGTTTAAGGCCACGGTTAATTTCAATGGAGAAACGTTCGAAAGCCCCGCCTTCTGTTCTACTCTGCGGCTGGCAGAGCATGCGGCGGCAGAGGTTGCGCTCAATGAGCTGTCGAAGAGAGGGCCATCATCGTCACTTGCTGCAAAAGTTCTGGTAGGTTCTGTTGATCCCTCCAGAAATTGATTCTCAAGCATTATGATATGGAAATCAGTTGCATGTCTTGTGTGAAAAACTTTTGCATTTGTCATCTTGAGAAATCTCTGGTATGTTTTGACTGACATCCTGGAAGAGCGCTAACCTTAGATCTCATTGTAGTTCTATGTAGAATCAGAGATTTAGTAACTTGTCATGGATGTTTTTTTGTTGATAAACAGATAAAGTGCTTGAACCAGGGGACAGTTAAATTGTATCCTTTCAGCTTTGCCAAATAAGATTCATGTCACATGTGTACTAGCTAGCAGATCACCTCAGATTGCATAGTTGCCAATCATCTATTGAGAACCACAAAAGGATATCACTGTCACATCATCATGCTTGTTAGTACCGAAAAAATCAGATTGGCATAGGAAGTTGAAAGTAACAGTCATCATCAGTTCTCTATTTAACTTGTTGTAGCTTAGTTTGATATGGTAAGAGTGAGGAATTGTCCATAGCTCAAGTCCATAACTCACAAGTCACAGTTAGACTTTTTGCTTAACATGCTAGACTTACTGACATATTACGCATCATCTCATTGCTTTATCTGTAAAAATACTTAGTTCAGTCCTTGTGCTTTATTTGACAAGTTGTACTTGCTGATGCTATTATGGCGGCTTGTACATGCTGCTTCTACTATATTGTAGTACATATTATAGTAGTTTCTCAGTGGATGGACATTGTGAAATGTCCTGGATCACTGGATGTAATTGGTGGTAAACCAACCTTTCCTTTGGTCAAAGGACAATAAATCTCATCTACGCTGTGGATGTATCTAAGATACTTCCAGTGGCAGGTGTATTAAAAGTTCAGTGTTCTTGACAATTCCCCCAAGCAATAAGTCAAAGGGATGTGGTATTATTTATGATGGATCGGTTGGGATGGTTTAACTCATTTATGATATCTGATGTTGATTTGCCAGTTGTCCCATCTAGTTGCATCATTCCTGATTTTGCAGTAAAAACAAATCAGTATACAACGTTGGCAGCCATGTGATTTTCTTCTTCCAGTGTGCATCTCTACAATGCTCACTGATGTCAGCATATGAAATGGATATTAAATAAATAAACATTGAGCTTACTTGTGTTTATTGTGCATATCCTTATATTGTGCATTCTGTAACCTCTTGAGGAATGGTTTTTCAAGCTGAGGGCCTAAAGCTGTTTCACTCCACAGGATGAAACTGGGATCTACAAGAACTTGCTTCAAGAAACAGCTCATCGAGCAGGTTTAAAACTGCCAGTGTACACTACAATTCGATCTGGGCCAGGTCATACACCTGTGTTCACATGCACAGTGGAGTTGGCAGGGATGACCTTTACTGGCAATCCCGGCAAGACCAAGAAACAAGCACAGAAAAATGCTGCTATGGCAGCCTGGTCTGAATTGAAGCAATGTGAGTATCTTCTCACCTTCTTACCACCTTTGGTCTCTTAATGCATGGTTCACTGGATGTACAACAATGGACCGCCTATGTGCTAAGTACTTTATTGGAAAAATAAAGAGGAAAGACAATCATATATGTTAATGGATCTTCCCTTATTAACCTATGCATAATGCACTGCGGCATTTCCTAGTCATTCCATTGTATCAACTTCAGAACTTTTTCACTGACTATTTGGTTTTGTTGTGCCTAACAGTGCCCCGAGTAGGTGAGCCATCATCCTCATCTTGTCCACCAGATCATGACGATGATGATCAGGAACAGATTATAGTGGCTCGTACTCTTGCAAGCTTGAATCAGACAAATGGAGGAAAGACACCACAGCAAAAGGAAAAACAGCAAAGCAGTAACCGCCCGTCATCTCGGAGACCCTCTTATCCGAAATCAAATGCATCATTTTATGGCCGGTTGCATTTACAAAAGCATGCATACCCAAGTGTTCCACCAGAGCAAGCAATGTACCATATGTGGCATCAGGTGCAAGCAACACAGCAGAAGCCGCATTTTCCAATGGTACCCACTATGGGCAGTACAGGCTTTCCACCGCCTCCAACTGTGCTCCACATGTACCCTCCACCTAGAGGGCAATTCACCATGCCATCCAGCCAAGATGGTTTAGGTCTTATTCCATGTTATCCTGAAGCTTCCCCCGTCCTTCCACGGTACTTCTCGCCTTATCCTGCCTCCTTTGTACCAAGACGTCCATTGCCAGTTAATGTTCACAAAATTCATGAGAAAAGGTTAGTGGGTGCTGATATGGTTGAGCTTCCTGATGCTGCGGTCTTCTCCCGATACACTGCTCCAGATTTCTCTGGTACATCAGAAAATGCTGTTCAAGATAACAAGAAAGAAGAATATACCGAGAGCAGTCCTGCCTCCGAGCAAGAAAGCAAATCTCATACTGCCTCAAGCTCCGCCACGCGTTCACCATCACAACAGCTAGAATCAAATCAAGATATAGAAATCATGGGCGGTTTGCGGTTGGAATCAAAGAAGCCCGCAGAACAGCCACCGGAGTCATCACCATCCAGGGTCAATCCTGTTCTTCTGTGTGAAACTGGCCAACGGCACCATTACAGTTCTGTTCGCCATGGTGATCCTGTCCACAGAAATAGTCCTCAAATAAGTGTGGCTACATCACCTAGTCCTATTCGTCGTGGTGATCCTGCCCACATAAACATTCCTCAAATAAGTGTGGCCACACCACCTGAGTGCCGGTCTCCCCGTGCACAAGCTCCACCAAGATTTGGAACAAGAATGCCGGTAAATTTGCCGAGTTCGTTATACCAGCAACGGCCTCCTTGGTTAGCTGCCTCAGTTACAATCAGAACAACTATCCCTGTATGCTCAGCGAGGCCAAATGTGGTGAACTCTAGTGCTGGAGCAGCTCAACCTGCTGTTCAGATCCTCTCGGCCTCGCCTAGAAAAGAAGAACCTGAAGCTCGCACGAACACCAGTGACACAAGCAATGCTGCAACGGCGAGTTCTGAGCTCAATAAGCTCCATATTTGAAAGTCACAGTTTTGGTTCATCTGAGCTTTAGTCAGGGCTGAGAACTTAACTCTCAGCTGCATCTCAGTTTTGATTGTTTCTTTTCCTTTCATTTTTTTTATCTCCTTGGGTATTTAGCTAGATAGACATAACTATATGAAGAGTTGGAGAGCGGGCATCTCTCGCGATATCTGAACCTGTTGGATTTTTTATGTACCACATCTTATCAAGAAGAGTGAATGGGAACAGTATATATACCGAATGCAATTTTTGTTTGTGAGATTTCAGACCGCACTGAGCATCCATAAAATGTAGTGCAGTGGAGTACATCTTCACTCCAGCTCTCTGCATCTTTATGGAGCCTGTTGTAATGTTCGTCACATGAATGCTTTTATCTCTTTTGATTCTCAGTACTTGGAAGTTGGAAGCTATTTGATTCTCTCAATACTTGGAAGTTGGAAGTAGTAGTTGCAGGATTGCCTGTGTATGATATTCTCACACCGCTATTGCAAGATATAGTTTGCCTGCAGTCGACTGGGTAATTACTAATTAGGCAGCAGAAGGCATAAAATGATACATGCGATGCCATATCCCCTTTCCAGGAAAAGGAGAGTATCATTACCTGTGCAATGATGCAGACGCCTGACGAGCGGTGGTACATTGGTGTGGAGACGACATGCATACAGGTAAAAGCAACTTTGTTTTATTTGATTGATGTCTCCAAAAGAGAGATCAACTACTTGTTATAGTTATGATCACCTAAAATTTGTAATGTTGCCCGTCCAATTTAAAACTTTAAAACACAACCACTTTAACCGGTATACAAGCTAACCATCTCACTAGAGTTATGTCTGCTAGTTTTTTTTTTTTTTTTTGAGCTAAAGCTACTGCTAGACAATTGGGATGTATCTGGGGTTTCCCCTTGGGTTTCATGTCAACCTCCAAATGAGCTCCCTAAATGCATATGGGGGGAGGAACGAACAATAATCAGATCACCCTCGCCTTCTCCTTCCCTGTGAGAAAAACAAGTGGGTGAGGTCCTACTTTACTGTAATAACCAAAACAGTGTGTGGTTCTAGTAAAGATGAACAGAATGCGATGTAAATAACACTTACCGAGCCTGCATTGGCTTCAGTGTAGGACTGGCGCCTCCTCTTCGAAGAGCTTTGTGGAGGGGTATCGAGCGACCTTGATGAAGAACGCTTTGCTGGCGACATATTCTGCAAGTGCAAGAAAGTAAAAAACTGAAGATTAGAAAGATTGCATTGTGATGACTACTAGGGCAATATGTTTGTACTTCACTATGAAGTGAACTAGAAGCCAAACGGGAATTGAAAAAGGTCTACTATGACCAACCTTCTTATCTTTCCTGGCCAATCTCTCACGCTCATCATATTCTTGGTTCTCCTTCTCCACTAGACGAATGAGGGTCTCGCACCTCCTAGCTAGCTCTTGGGTTGTTCTAGACTTCACAAACCAATCAAATCGGAACAAGGGCGACATGCGAAAGGCTGCTTTCAGTTCATCCCAGTTTCCGTATCCGAGTTTGTGCACCATGCATAACTGTAATAGACACAAGCTGTTAAAATGCAAAAAAGAAAGGGGCTTAAATTGTTCAGGAACAATTGTGGTGTAGCATACCATAAAACGATCACATTCTTCGTTGTATAACTTCCCTTTATTCTGGCCATACTGAATTTTCAACTCTAACCAAGGGTTCTTATAGCGGTCTAGCTTTTTCCCAATAGCTTTCATAATCTCATCCTTCCGGTATATCCTTGCTTCTCCTTTCTCAATGTTCTTAATAACTCGGTCATAATCTGATAGGATGAGGACATCATATTTAGTCAAAACAGATTTTGTATCTGACCATTACTCAGCTCAGCATGTAAGCAATCCATTACTTGGTTACAAGTTAATAACAAAGTCAGCTACACATTAAATAGGTCATCAGTAGGGAATACAAACAGTAAGAGAAAAGGTTACAAAATATACCATTTAATTCCTTGTATCTTTCCTGGAAAACTTTAGCGTACCGCTGCACCTCCTCTTCTGTTTTCCCCTCCATTTCAGAGGATATGTTCTTTATGTCATTACGACCGTACTTCTCACAAGCACGGATGAATGTATTGAAGTCCCTCCTTGTCCATGTCGAAAAGCCCTGGATATTATACAATGCAAAACCAAACAAACTCAGAGAAGGAACCAGATATAAAGCAGGCAGATATATTGAACGACAAAAACAGCATGTCCTTTTTCCCCCCTAGAATAAACAACAGTAACACTAAATCCAAAAAGGATTTTCATTGTTTGTAACCACCTCTTCCAATAGCTGCTCTTTCTCTTCTTGCTCCTCCACAGTCAACGGTTCCAGTTGATCTAAATATTAAAACAGAACTTGTCAGAACAAAAAAAAAACATCTATCTGCTTTAGTGCCACTATAAATGCATAGTTGGTAATACCTTCGTCATCACCCTCACCAACCGTATCCTTTTTCTGATTTGCTTGCTGGTTAAGATTTGTAAACAGGTAAAAATTAAGATCAAGAATCACGAAAACAATTCTCAGTCTCATTTAGTAGCATGTACACATAGACAATATGTTGGACATTGGGAAAACCAATTTATCTGGAAATTCTACATGACTAGGGAATAATATATCACAAACAAAGGCAACCTAATGACCTATCATATAGTAATATAATGTCTCATGCTTCTGACATAAGTAAAAAAACTGATATCGCAAATAGTTCTAGTGGAGAGATTACCACAAGGTATTTGACTTCCTTCTCATATAATTCATTGAGTCTCTGAGTGTTGAAGAACTGGAAATCATGCCTAACAAAAACAAAACCAAAATGAGTACACCACTGCAATTAAATGAAAAAAATATTAAAAATTTTGAAAAATGAAAAAAAAAAGACTATGTGAACAAGCTTACAAGTGTGGCATTCGAGGAATTCTCGGTTCCCTAGGTTTTGCTGGTGCACCTTGGCGAAGTGCTTGCTTGAAATAATCAGACTCAGAGTAGCTAATAGAAACATATTAACAAAAAAATAGTCTGATCAGAAGGAGACTATTATTCTCGTTATTAAAAATGGACATAACATAGTTATATAAAGCATACTTTCGCTTCCTTTCTCTTCTGCTGGTTGGCTCTATCCAGTTGTCAGTGACCAACTTCTTAAAATCAAGTTTGTTTTCATCCTTCAGAAAAAATAACGTGCATTCAATTATCACAAAATCGGACCAAATATGACAGCACATCTTAATATAAAAAACAATGATGATAATTAAACTGAACTTAGAGCATGCAGCAAACAACAGAACATAGCACTGTTTCATTACCTTATCATCATCAAAATCATACAGTTCAGCAGCTGCAGAAAAAACATGAATGAATAAGCTTGGTAAGAATACATTCCATATGTACACTAGAGCCATGTGGTGATTTTTTTGGGAAACATTAATTTGTGCAGACATATTTAACCATAACCTTTAGTCTAGAAAACTATAGAAGTAGTTAGAATGCATTATACAATTTGACAATATTTCAAAATGAGTCCGAAGTATGCGGACAAGTACTTGAACCTCCATTTCCAGATATTTTCTTAGAGTTATTAAGAACCAAAGAGACCAAACTTTATGAGTTTGTACTGAATATATGCAGACATAGAGAAGGAAGTGTGTGAGAGATATTGAGAGAGAGAGAGAGAGAGAGAGAGGGTCATACTGTCATCCATTTTGAACTTAATAGCATCTTCTGTGAACTTCTTCATTTTTGCATCAAGTTGTGCTGTTGCTTCTTCTCCCTTAGCGATGATGCGGTCAATATCTTCATCTGTTATTGTGCTATCCTTGGAGCTGAATACCATTTCAGCACCAAATCTGACCATCTGCAATAGCTCATCCTTATTGACAGCTGAAACACCACGACAGAAGAACATTAATTGATGTTTGAATTTTCATTTGTCAAGCAACATTTTATGAAGCAAAAAACTAACCTTTCTGCTCTGCCAATCGACCCTGTTGTATGACCAAAGCATCCAGGGCAAGCTTCTTATAAGCTCTCTCAATCACCTTTTCCTCAATTGTATACTGCATAGAATATGAAGCATATTCTGTTATATAAATAAATAGAAGATATTGCTTAGTGCTAAACCAGTGTTTTTAAATCTTAAAATAAATTAAATAAAACCTCAGTGCAGAAACGAAAAACTTGAACTTCTTTCTTTTGACCAATTCTATGTGCACGATCTTGCGCTTGCAGATCCACTTGAGGATTCCTGTGAAACCAAATAACCATAACCTTTAACTTCACAAATTGTAGAATGAGAAAAAATTACGATTTGAAAAGGACATACCAGTCACTGTCATAAAGAATAACAACATCAGCAGTAGCAAGATTTATCCCAAGACCACCTGCCCTAGTCGAAAGCAAGAAAACAAATTTTTCACTCCCTGGCTTGTTGAAAGCTTCAATCGAAGCATCACGATCTTCACCACCAGTATTCCCATCAATTCGGCAATATTGATACCCCTTGTACATCAGATAATCTTCCAAGATGTCCAAGAGCCTAGTCATCTGCAGGATACACAGTTGTGTATACACAAATGTTATGAAAACATAAAACATAGGCAGAAAAGCATTATATATAAAAAAAACACAAGATAAAAATGTGGACATTTGCATCAAACCAGCTCACAAGTAGAACACACACAAATCATGAAATAAGATTGCTATCATATCCTTGATGCTGTCTGAACTCTGACACAATGCAAATTCAACTTGAGTGTAACAGAAAGAAAATAGTGACCTGTGAGAAAATAAGTACTCTGGAATCACGTTCCTTTAGCTTGGGAAGTAATTTATCTAACAGAACCATTTTTCCTGTAAAATAAGAGTGCATGATCATATGTGCAGTATTGCAGAAATAGTACCAAATTATGACAAATACTAGAGTGGATGAATAGTACCTGCATTCTCAATTAGATGGTCTCCAGTGGTATAGGGTGGACCAGGCTCAGCACCTTGGAATAAATATGGATGGTTGCAGCACTTCCGCAATTGCATGGCTATGTTAAGAAGGCGTTTGCGTTCACCACCGGCATTGACAACCTCCAGATCTTTCTGAAGCAGAGCACGATAATATTGTTTTTGCATCTCAGACATTCCAACTTTAAGTATAGTTTCCTTTTTTGGTGGTAAACCTTTCTCAACATCAGATTTAAGCCTCCGAAGCAGAAATGGACGAAGAACCTTCAAGTGTAACATGTTACACAAATCATACAAGGAAAACCAACATGATCTATCAATTGAGAATATGGATATCAAATCTGTTACCTTATGAAGCTGCTGAACAACTTCATGTTGATCATTTTCCCCTGAGATTTGGAACCAATCATCAAAAGTCTCAGCAGAGCTAAATATTTCAGGCAACAAGAAGTTGAGAAGAGACCAAAGTTCATGAAGATTATTCTGCAGCATAATCAAGTCAGTGGTGATAAAATTGGACATAACTTGAACTTGAAGAAATGTATACTGAAGCAAATTACCATAATTAGATTAGAAAGAGTACAAAATTTGCATAGGTAGCAATGTAGAATTAATGTGACAAGGTGGTGCTAACATACCTGTAGTGGAGTGCCCGTAATGAGGAGACGATAATTAGTATTGTAAATCCTCATAGTCTTAGAGAGAAGGGAATTTTCATTTTTTATCCGGTGGGCTTCATCAATAATAATATAACGCCAGCTGAAACGCTTCAATGCAGTTTTTTCTTTAATTGCCATTTCAAAACTAGTAACACAGACGTCAAACTTCCCTGGGACTAACAAATTTTCCCGGATATGGTTCTGACCAAGTATGACAAATATGTTAGCAATATACCACAAGAAGTTCACATGAATGACAGAGATAACATGGGGATTACCCTTTCTTCGGGGTTTCCTAAGAACTTGATAGCACGCAGAACAGGACAAAACCGTTGTATTTCCTTCATCCAGTTCCCAAGAGTGGACTTTGGTGCAACAACCATGTGGGGACCGGTTATTCCTCTAAACTCATGCAAATATCCAAGCAGTGATATAGTTTGAAGGGTTTTTCCAAGACCCTGAACGAGAAGGATTTCATGCCAAATATGAGCTCATGAAGTTGAATTAAGCATAACCATATAAGAGTCAATAAGTATAATCTTAATGTTAATTGATATGTGTAACAACAATGAAGAGCAATAGAGTACCATCTCATCAGCCAATATTCCATTGATGCCATTCTCATACAAGCGTATGAGCCAATTAAGTCCAGCTAGTTGGTAATCTCTCATCTTTCCTTTTATGCCTGTCAAGTAAACCAACAAGAATATAATGATCATTTAGTAGTTAACATAAACTGATGAGATTGCACGAGTCTGTGACGGACTCATTTTAATCACAAAGAAAGCTACCAGGGCATTTGTACATAAACACTACCATTCAGTTATAACAAGGATGTGAAGATAACAACATCTGGACATAAACACGGGTTAAATGCTGTGAAGGATGCAGACTTATCCCCAAAAAATATAATCAAATGAATGAACTAGGAGTCTAGGACAACAACTAGCGTAATTGCACCTTGCTATCACACACACCTACGAACTAAGAGAGAGCCAGCTGAGCAGCAGCAGATCGGGTATGTCCAGATCTACCGGGTAGAAACTACCGGGTACCTGTTGTATGTATTTTTCTTCTACAATTAAGTGCAATCCATGAAAGCCACAATTAATCCCTCTAATTCCTCCTCTTTAATAGATAAAAAACTAACAACTTTTGTTCTACAGACTGCTTTGATGTTTTTTTCTTTAAAAAACAGACTATTTTGACAAAAAGCTGATGTTGCACAGCATACGGTCGCTGACTTGGACCTTGGTTCACACAAGAACAAAAGCATGTCGACTAAACAAGCAGCATGCAAAAGAACAATTTTAGAAAGACAGAAGTCAGTTTCTTCTTCCTTTCTAAATTTACCGCGTCCTTTTTGTCTGTTTTCAGTGGAGCAAATATTCGAACCGTTTACGCTTAATTATATCAGGGTGCCGTGAAAAGCTCCCTAATCGGAGTCCTCATAGATATCATTTCAAGGGCTTTTTCGGGGGAATATCATCAATCGTCTGATCAATGACAAAATAAATTTGAATTGACCTAAAGATGAAACATTTTAGGAGAATTAAAACTAGCAAACTTGGACAAACAATTTTATAGCTTTGTTTGGATGGAACGGAATCCTTGCCCAACACGTGTAAGCCAATGAAAATTAGTATAATTCTCACGTGGACATGGAAACGTGTGCCGGAATCCGACTCGAACTAGTGTGTCTGATTCGGCACAAAAGAATTTGACACACAAAATCCTTCCTGGAATCCAACACGAGCGTCAAAACCCGATTCGGACTCGGGATGTCCGATTCAGCAAAATAAATTCAAAGCAACACATATGTTCTAGTCAAAGTGTTCGAGGTTGCATTTCATCGAAACAATGGCTTTATTCTCAGGTGACACTGAACAAAATGTGTGAGTGGTGTTTATGGGAGGTTCTCTCTATTGGTATGTCTTCTCGACGGTGTGCCTTTGGCACAAAAGAATTGGGCACACAAAATACTTCTTGGAATCCAGCATGGATGTCGGAAGCCGACTTGGATTCTGGGGTCCGATTCGGCAAAAAAAATTGGACACGAGTGTCTAGGTAATATTGTAAATTCAAAGCAACGCCTATGTTCTAGTCAAAGTGTTTGAGGTTGCATTTCATCGAAACAATGGCTTTATACTTGGGTGAGGCCGAACAAAATGTGTGAGTGGTCTTTATGAGAGGTTCTCTCTATTGGTACGTCTTCTTGACTTGGGTTGGTGTTGGTATTTTATTGCACCTTTCCCAGTCTTAAATTAACGGCTGAGTTCCTACATCCGTTTCAGAAAAAAAAAAAAAGGGGGAGGAGCACATCCTATTCCTATCCAGTACAAAAAAAACACGGAGAATACAAATCTAGTTATGGCCATCAGGCTCTACATCCTCATCACTAACACAGACAAACAACATTAACACTTTCACCCAGTCTTGCTCAAATAATGGCTATAGATATTATCTCCTTTCCTGCCAGTAGGAGCAAGAGTAGTTGAGAAATCAGAACCAGGGTTTCCTTTCCATAACAGGCCGTGAGATGAAGCAACATAATTTACTGCATTCCCTCACAACAGCTTTCGTTTTAAACACCATCCGAACAGAAAAAAAAATCACAAAATGTTGATTAATTCAGCACAAGTAATCGCAAATTCGCAATGAAATTGCGAACCGTTCTATACTGTTTCGCCATCAAACAAATCGAACCTTCCATGCAAAATAAACATTTTCGTTACACAAACTGCATTTAAGACTGGCTTGTAAAACAAAAGGTTTGACAGAATCATCAAGCAAATGCTCACATGATGGTTGTGAAACCAGACGGGTCCCTCCTGCACCATCAAGGGCATCTTCCTCCTCCTTGAGATACTCCTCATCTTCTTCCTCCTCTGTCATCTTTGATGCATGACGTCCCCTAAGATCCTTACCACATTAGCTAAACAAAGAAGACCTATGAAGAACAAAGAAATATGTACCACAACAAGAAGAGATAGATGCCCTGGATAAATAGATCTGAATGTTGTGGTAAGTAGTACCATTCCCCAAAAATTATTGAAATATGTTTAACAAATACCACTTGATACTAGAATACTAGATAGCTAGGGCACAAAAAGATGTTGAAAGCTCTATGCACTCATCAAAATTTACTGAAAATGATAAATGAGCCAAAGATGACTGGTTAGGTGCATGTTTTAACAGCTTGACCATTTTTAACTACTTTAAATCTGAAATCTGAATATGTTGAAGTTCCAATAGAGAAAAGCTTTTCTTAATAATCCTGACAATGTTCAGCTAAAGGAATGCACTACATGATATCTTGGAGTTCATCAAGGCTATGAAGATGGGAATGGGACGGCAAGTCATCACTACCAGGTCTCAAAAACAGAAAGTATTTCGCATATTACAGAAAAATATTGGCACTGTACTGTTGTAACAAATGACAAATGGTTAGCAGTAACTTCCCTTAATGGAAAGTATGGGGTTAGCATATTTATCCAAGGAAGAATATACCTTCCACGTGATTTCTTCTCTGTCGATTGGTTTCCTTTCGCAAAATGAGCAAATATTTCAGTTTGCTGCAGGAGATACTTCAGACGTCCCTTCCCCTTGTTGTTCTGTCCATGAATTTAATATTCTAAGCTACCACAGAACTCAAAGCCATGAAGTGAACGCAAAAAAGCACAGAAGATTTAGATCACATGTCAATAAGGTATTCCTATTTGGAGGTTAATCGCTAGGAGATATGGGAACTTATCAAACCATGTCAGCATCAATGGCCTTATTTTGGGCATCCAGTATTTCCTGGATTTTGTGCTTCTTCAGCTTTTGCATCTCCCTGAGCTTTGCTCGCTCCCGCTTCCCGATCTCTGCGTTTCCAGTAGCATCTTCCAACTGCAATTGAAGACAAGCAACTCAGTGATGTTGAGTGACACTCAGAGTAGTCACTCCCCTTCAAAATATTTTGAAACTCTTTTTTAGAACTAACAATCACTCCTTTGATAACTGTAAACCATGCTGATTGGCTAATTGCGATAAAAAACTACTTCAGTAGCACAAATATACCACGAAGCTTTAAACATTTTGCTACAGCACACTTACGCATAAAGAAAACCCAAACGGATACAGGAATCCTCACCAGATGGACCAAACAAGAACAACTTTACTAAAATTTACAACCTATTGCACGGGAGAGGACTGCCTCTCTTTCTAAAAAAAAACAATCTACAATTTTAAATGAACACTAATATCATCCCTCAAATGTCTACAGGAGTATAGACGCATAACAGATTACTTTACAGCTAAACAGAGGGAAACAGGAAAAAAATCTGTATAATCAACGGAAATCTGCTGATTTCGTTTCAGAAAAAGAGAAATCATAGCATAATCGCTACCACCTATCAACAGATTCAAACATAAACCACCCAACCCCTACCAGCACCTAGATCACCAAACCGTGCCACACCCACCTTGTCGCCATCTTCACCGCCGCCATCCTTCCCGGCGGCGACCTCGTCGTCCTCCGTGGACTGCGACTCCTCCTCCGCGCCCCCGTCATCGCCCACTTCTTCGTCGTCGTCGTCCCCTCCGGCGCCGGTGGTGACCGCCTCGATCTCCTCCTCATCAACCTCCTCCTCTTCCTCTTCCCCAGCCCCCTGCTCCTCCTCCACCTCCTCTTCCTCCTCCTCACCCTCCGCCTCTGCTTCCTCCTCCCCGACACTAGACTCCTCCTCTTCCTCCTCCTCCACTTGCTCCCCATCCGCCTCACCCTCCACCTCCTGCTCCTCCTCGTCCCCGCTAAACCCCTCCTCCTCCTCCCCCTGCTCCTCCTGCTGCTCCTCCCCCTCTTCCTCTTCTACCTCCTCCTCCTCCTCCTCGCCGGCGGAAGACGAAGGGGAGAGCTGCTCCTCCTCCGAGTCGTCGTCGTCGCCGTCGCCATACTTCCCCGGCTTCCCCATCACGCCTCGCTCGAGGCGGCGGCGGCGGCGGTGGCGGCTAGGGTTTCGGGAGATTTGCGAGAGGCGGATCGGGGGTGGGGAATTGAATTGGATTGGAGTTGCCGAATTGGGGGATTGGGGTGATCTTATATTGAAGCGGTTTCGCCTTGTCGCCGCTCGCGCGGGGGCGGCGTGAAATGAACTAGTGAAGAAACGGAAGAGGAAAGAAATTGGAGCGGAGTGGAGGTAGGGGGCTTTTTTACGATTTGGTCCCTCCAGAATTGAGTATTTCTTCCCGCCCAGCGTGTGGGGAGGGAGGGCCGGGCTGTGGATGTTGGGGGGCCTTCTTGGGCTGGAATACAAAATGTAGTTTTAGCCAATGGGCTTAATTGATAGTGGGCCTTTTTTATGTTTTGCTTCCTTCGTCGGCTTTTCAGCGAAAATGACCTTCCGTATCTAACGTTGATCGGCCGAATGTTGTGATGAATTGACACCGGCGACTTCACTGTGCAAATTTGATATAGTTCTATCATCTACTGATACCATTCAATACTTCTTAAAAGTGATGGAGTCTCTTCTGCCACACCATCTATACCACCGATATTAGGGTTCTACAATCTATATTATTACATCACCCTTCAACGATTTCTCTCCCGTTTCATAGCTAACTCTCTATAAATTTGGAATCACCTACTTGTTCAATAAGAAAAATAATGAAAGTACTATTTGGATTAAATATGTGCTTAATTAACTTAATAAGCCGAAACTCAAATTTGTTTTCCGTTGCAACGCAAAGGCTCTTAGCATCACTAAATCTTTATGTTTACCTTGCGTATTTTTTTAGTTAGGTATAGATCTATCCTTTTTCACGTCGCGCAGTGGATAGCTTTTCTAGTTTGGTTAGGTCAAGACATCTCATCCTTATGCCGCCACATGCAATCTCTTGCCGATTCCTCGCGTCGCTGAAGCTAGGGTTTCCCTCCATTTTTCCCTTCATCTGCACCACTGTGGAGTCCACCATAAGGCATGTCTCTACACCTCCACTGCACTTTATTGGCATTAGCCATCACACAGTTCTCATCCGCTTTTCACAATGTTGCAAATGGATTCCCCGTGCTGGGAAGACGTTGTGACACCTCAAATCCGCCGATATCTCCACCGTAGCTTGACATCGACCTTCCTCCTTTCTCCAATAACCTGAGCTTCAATTCATGGCACGTTCCATTATCCCCATATTCCCTAAGCTGGCCACCATAATCGATAGATGCACTGAGCCATAGGACGCATTCCTCCTCCGTTTTTTGTTGTCGTCACATCTTCGGATCCCCTCCATCATTGCCACTTCCTCTGCTCGGCCAAAGCAGCCCTAGGAAAGAGGAGTGGTGCAGGTCGACACTATTTCCATGTGGCCAAGCCAAACCACTTGGCTTGAGCTCGAAGAAGTTCCTATGTAGTTGGACTTGGACCCAGCAAGCCTCTTCGATCCAAGAAAAATTTAAGCCTGGATTGAACCGACCTATTGGCGGGTTCAGTGCATGATACCATGATTTCACTGCTCCATCAACTTTTAGTGGGTTTTTTCGGTTTTCTCCTATATTACATAGTACACTAACCCTAGACTTCACCACAATTTTGACATTTTGATCCTTTCACTAAAGTTATTCTATAACTAGACCTTGGTAAAAACTAAAATCAGAAATAGACCTTTACCTCAGCGCCGTAGGCCTTGGCACTTCGGCCCACCATGTCAATGTCAAGCCCATTGACATTGACACCGTGAAATATGGCGCTAAGATGTTGAGCCTCAACGCCAAAGTCCATGGCGTTGAGGTAGAAGCCTACTTTTGGTTATAATTTTTGTCATGGTTCATTTATAGAATAAGTTTTGTGAAAGGGTTAAAATGTCAAATTTTCGTATAGAACTTTGAATTCATTAGGACCTAATTTGAAGTGCCCAGCAGGTTGCAAGACACCAGCAGCACACCTCTCAGTTGCATGAGATATAATAGGATGGCCCTTGGCATTTTTTTTCTTCATACCACCGAAGCAGATCCTCTTGGGAATTGCTGACCTGAACATGGTTTCAAAACCCTGCAAAACAAAAGCTAAGGAGAACCGCTGTCATCAATGAACTTTAGAGGAAGGTTTCATGTAACTTCTTGTGCACTGAGTCAATGACCATGACCACCATGAACATATGGGACATGTGTTCATGAACTTATTCAGCAAATATATTGAGATTGCCCTTTTCCTGCACAAGGGCCTCACCACTACTGAAGATTATTCTCACATCTACATGGTCACATAAAATAGGCAGAGCGGTCAACTTAGAACAGCATTAAGCAATCAGACATAACGAAACAAGTCAGCGAACTTACCCGCCTTACTCACACCGCTTTAACATCTGAGATTCTGAGGGAGAGAATCCATTGCTTCCTGAGCCACCCTGCTTGTTGACAAAAAAACTTAACCTTATGAGGACCTTGATTCCTCTTTGGATGCATTGATGAAAAATCGAGAAAAGTCTTCGGCTCTTAGTTCACTCATTAGAATGGAAAATCAATTGAGATGAAATATAATCATACAGCTCATTGAACAATATCCCTATCTCATTTGTTGCTATGGAATTTCTCCCAGCCAACATAATGTATCATCTCTTCACCATATCCTATCACAGTGCCCAAAGACTTGAAACTGATGTCCAGACTAAGCAAAGGGCTTCTGTGCTCTCAAACCCCTGTAATGTAACTGATCTTGGGAAAACTTGGACTCCTAGAACGACTGAAACATAAGCAAGGACAAGTTCTGCAAATTTCTTCTACAAGGCACTGAAAGTACAAAATTTCAAATATATACTCTTTTCTTTCAACAAAAAAAGAAGACCAAGGGAAATCAAACTTCATTTGAAGACTAAAGAATTCACTTTGCTCACTGTGTTTACAAAGGATATATTGCTGGGATAGCTCTACGCAACGATGCAATCTTGTGTCAGGAATCAGGATAGTAACACAAAAATTGAATAAAAATGCCTTTATTTCTTTTCTTTAACACAGAGGATGACAATACTAGCAAATATAAATTTGTTTCAGTTAGTATACGACACCATCACCGGACCAATGAAACATGAGATGTTGTAGGCTCACCACACAGTAGAGAAACTAAAAGAGAAAATAACCACATCAAAGGAAAGGGCACTCGCTTGAATTAATCCGATTTCACAATAAATTATATCACAAGCTTTGGTTTCTACTTACCCATGGAAATTGAAATTGGCAGGAGTAGATGCTGATGCTTCCGCATTCTCCCAAACTGGCAAACCGGCAAAGCACTCTTAACTCTTAAGCTAGCTAGGGACACACTCTCAGTCCCTCTACAACTCTACTTGGGAACAAATTCCCATATGGAAGGGAAAAATCTCCCTTCCTTAGATTCCTAATCACCAGAATCCGTGATGAAACTATCAGATCAAATTTTACACAGTAAAGTCGATGATGTCAATTATTGATGGTAAAGGTCATGTCACTTGAATTAATCCGGTTTCAAATTAAATTATGTCACAAGCTTTGGTTTGTACTTACAGATGCAAATTGAATTGTCAGGAGTAAGATGCTGATTCTTTCGCATTCTCCCAAACCACCAAACCGGCAAACTGGCAAAACACTCTTAAGCTTGGTCCCTCTACAACTCTACTTGGGAACAAATTCCCATAGAAGGGAAAAATCTCCCTTCCATAGTTTCCTAATCACTAGAATCCTTGATGAAACTAAGGGCATGTACAATGGTCTTTATTAGCGGTCTCTCTTTATTGTCATGCAAGCATATTTGGTGATGTGGAAGAGAGAGAGAAAAGAAAAGAGAAAGATGGTTGCTACACATGACAACAGCATAGAGTCGACTCTTAGCATTTATTAGGAAATTTTTTATTGCATTGAGTCTAATAAAGGAAAGATGACTAGTAAGAAAGTATTTTGGTACATTAATGATTAGAGACCGTATTGTCTTAACTATTGTAACGTGATAGCCTCTAATTAACGTAGAGACCATATCGGTCTCTACCTTTGTACTTGCCATAATAGATCAAATTTACTCCCTCCGTTTCATAATGTAAGACTTTCTAACATTGCCCACATTCATATAGATGTTAATGAATCTAGTCACACACATATGTCTAGATTTATTAACATCTATATGAATGTGAGTAATGCTAAAAAGTCTTATATGAATGTGAGTAATGCTAAAAAGTCTTATATTGTGAAACAGAGGAAGTATACAGTAAAGTCAATGATGTCAATTATTGATGGCGAAGGCCATGTCACTTATGCTTGAAGAAGGGTTGTTTGAGGCAAAACCAGGAATACGGCAACAAGGAGCGATCGGCGGCGCATTTGCCATCTTCTTCGCTTGGCTCATCTTCCTGAAATTGTGGATGCGGAATCAGCTCCGAAGCATTTGCCCCTAAATCCATGGCGATAGCCCAATGCCGATGCGGGGCATTGTCGTGCTCGACGAAGTAGACACAGTTCCTCCTGATCGCGGGGAACTCCGCAGCGGAGAGCGCGAGCGCGTCGCCGCGGCCCAGCAAGAGCGCGTGCTCGCCGAGGTCCGTCACCGGCGAGAGCTCGAGGTCCGCCGCCGCCGCCGCCCACTCCATCCTGAACACCTTGGCGACCATCTGTACACTCCGGCGGTGGCATTCCCAGTAGAGCACGGCGAGCAGCAGGTCGACGCCGTCGGCGGCGGCGACCACGTGCGCGGCGCGCAGGCTGCGGCCTTGCCTGGACAGCTCGCACGCGCGGTCGGCGTCGAGGTAGACGAAGGTGGAGCGGACGCGCGGCGGTGGCCATGGCGCGCCGGCGTCGTGGCGGAGGTCGTACGCGTAGAGGTACCAGTACCTGACGGTGAGGTAGAAGAAGCCGCCGTGGAACGCCGCGCTGTCGATCCTGTCCATCGGCGGCTCGCGCTGCGGCGTCCAGGCGGCGTCGCCGGGGCGCCAGAAGAAGAGCGTCTGCCACTTGCCCGCGACGCTGAAGGGCTGGCTGGCGATCGCCATCCACCCCGGCGAGGCCGCGGCGGCGAGGGGGTCGCCGGAGAGGAAGATCTGCGGGGCGAACCCCGCGCGGGGCAGCGGGGGCATCGCGATCTCCGCCCTGGAGACGGCTCCCAGAGGACGAGCCGCGTCGGGGAGCGCGGCGCGTCCGCCAGGGCGAGCCACCCGCGCGGCGTGCCGCAGCAGTACGGGAGCCCCGCCGGCGGCGCGTCGCCGAAGCAGGGGATGATCCTCTGGCCGCCGCCATGGGGGAGCCAGAAGGAGTAGTCCTCGCCGATGGCGCTGACAATGCGCGACGTCTCGTGGCCGGCCACGATCCATGGCCGGGCGGCAGCCAAGGGGGCCGTGGAGGCGCGCCAATGGGCGCAAACCTGGTGGATGTGGAGCACGTCGGCGTCGTAGCTCAGGGTGGACCAGCCGCCATCGCCGGCGCCACCGTCCATCCCTTTGCCTAAACATCTCTTCTTTTTCGTGGGAGACACCATGGAGGGAACCAACAGTGAAGGTCCTCTTCTTACCCCCAAGAAAAAAAGAAGGGTGGAATCTAACAAGCCTCCTCCCAATCAACAAGTCCGAACCAAATCATGCCTAAATCCAACACGACCTTTTCTATATCTCTATGACCGTGTTGAGTTGTTTTGGCGAAAAAAAAATTAACGTATACGGACATACATTTAAAGTATTAAATATAGACTAATAATAAAACAAATTACATATTTCACCTATAAACTGCGAGATAAATCTATTAAGTCTAATTAATATGTCATTAGTAAATGTTTACTGTAGCACAACATTATCAAATCATGGCATAATTAGGCTCAAAAGATTCGTCTCGCAATTTATATACAAACTGTGCAATTGATTTTTTTATTCACATTTAATGTTTCATGTATATGTTCAAACGTTGGATGTAACGGAAAAGTTGAAAGTTTGAAGAGAATTAAACACAGCCTATCTCTATCTCTTCTCTTCTCTTCTCTTCTCTTTTATACTATCTATCTATCTACTTCTACAGTTCTACTTCTATCTACTATCTACTTAAAAAATAAAAGAAGTTTATGTTGTCCGGAGGATGTTAGAAACATTATAAAAAACAATATAAAGAAAGATGATTGTATGTTAATTTATAGAATTCAATGAATTATAGATGATGTTGCATGCTTACATAAGTTTTTCAGTGTAATTATTGCTAGTGGATGATGAGTGGCACAGTGGCGGATCCAGGAATACTTTTGAGCTTGGGCAAGTCTAACAGCGAAAAACAAATATACATAAATCAATTCAAATATGTATACCTTTTATCATATACGTATGTAAAATTGACGGTCATCGAGTTCTAATTTAGGAGAGGAAATCCTATGAGAATATATCAATGAGATGATGGCTATATAGGCTAGAGTATGGAGTTTGTACTATCTTATTGAAAAAAAAATAAGACTGATACCAGAAAGTTATATAATTTTATCTTTAGATCATAATTGTGATGGTGTGAAATTGAATTAATTATCTGAAAGTAACAGGCATTTAGTTAAGCATGGTAATCAACAAGAAGATTCACGTGCAAGAGGGCATTACCTATAAATTGTATGCTGATTAGCTGGTGACTAAACATTGTAACTAAGTGCTGATAAACTGCTGCATAGTGGTGGAGCCTGGGCACTTGCCCGCGCTGGCCGGGCCCTATCTCCACCATTGAGGTGGTATATTTGTATGTCGAGCTTTATACTAGTGGGCTGTAATTTTATAGTAAGATAGGATTAACTTAATAAGCTACAAAATCATTTGTTTTCCATTGCAACACACAAGCTCTTGTTAGCATCACTAAATCTCTATGTTTACATGTATTTTTTAATTAGGTATAAATCTATATTTTTCTCCGTCACGCAGTGGATAGCTTTTCTAGTTTGGTTCTTGATCGGCATTAGCCAATCCGGAGGGTCAAGACATCTCATCCTTCTATCGCTACATACAATCTCTTGTCGATTCCTCGTGTCGCCGAAGCTAGGGTTTCCCTCCCTTTTCCCTTCATCTCCACCATTGTGGAGTCCACCATTAAGGCATGCCTCTACTCCCAACTGCACTTTAGCTGCACTAGCCATCACATAGTTCTCATCCACTTTCCACAACGTCGAAAATGGATTCCCCATGCTGGGAACATGTTGTCACACCTCAAGTCAGCCGATATCTCCACTCGTAACTCGCCATCGACCTTCCTCCTTTATCCAATAACCCGAGCTTCAATTCATAGCACGTTCCATTATCCCCATGTTCTCTAAGGGTGAGTTTGAGGAATAGGGGATTGAGAAGATTGGGAAGATACGCAAAACGAGGTAAGCCATTAGCATGTGATTAATTGAGTATTAACTATTTCAAATTGTAAGAATGGATTAATATGATTTTTTAAAGCAACTTTCCTATAGAAATTTTTTGCAAAAAACACACCATTTAATAGTTTGGGAAGCGTGCGCGCGGAAAACGATGTGCTATCTCACTCATTGTCCATGGAACGAACGCACCCTAAGTTTGCCATAATCGATGGATGCACTAAGGCATAGGACGTGTTCCTCCTCCGCTTTTGTTGTCGTCCCATCACCGGATCCCCTCCATCGTTGCCGCTTCCTTTGCTCGCCAGAGCGGCCCTAGGGAAGAGGAGTGGTGCAAGTCGACATTGTTCCCACGGGACCAAGCCAAACCGTTTGGCTTTAGCTCGAAGAAGTTCCTATGTAGTTGGACCTAATTAGCCTATTATACTAAGGAAAAATTTAAGATTGAGGAGTGGATTTTCAGTTTGATTTGTTTCAAAATGATTCCCATTGCCGTGAAATTTTGTTTAGAGTTTTTATATTTTAATTTTATTAATATACCATTTCCAAAAGTATTTTAAAATCTGAAACTTTTAGCCACGTCTGTTCGTCTAGCGTGGCCAAATAACTTTTATCATGTCACCATTGTTGGCGTGGCAGGACAATGCTGCCACGCAAAAGTTCAGTTTTCGAAAATATTTTTTGAAAATGTCTATTAATAAAATTAAAGCATAAAAAGTCTATTTTTTAAAAAAAAAAAACGTTGCCGTTGGGTCGGAGACGAGTTGGTTGGACTTGGAGGTGTCAGCTCAGCTTGGCGCCGAAGGGGATTTTTTTTTTCTTTTTACATTTGTTTTTCGCATGGTGGGGGATCAATCTTATCCGTTCACTTCATATCGCACGGTCCAGAGTGTTCCCGCACCTCTGTATATTTTTCTCCCTCCACACGATTCTCTCTTGTTTTCTAAAAAAAAGAAAAGATAAACTCGAGAAGTTCGAGAAGAAGCGAAAAGAAAAACTAGGACGGGACTAAAACTTCTAAGTCTCTATCACATCGGATGTTTGGAAATTAATTATAAATATTAAACGTAGACTATTAATAAAACCCATACATAATCTTGGACTAATTCGCGATACGTATCTATTGAGCCTAATTAATACATGATTAGCCTATGTGATGCTACAGTAAACATTCTCTAATTATGGATTAATTAGACTTAAAAAATTTGTCACGCGAATTAGCTTTCATTTATGTAATTAGTTTTGTAAGTAGTCTATATTTAATACTCTAAATTAGTGTCTAAATAGAGGGACTAAAGTTAGAGTCCCTGGATCCAAACACCACCTAGAGTCACTGACATGTAGGTCCATACCAGGCCCACATGTCAGTGACTCAAAACTCATGTGAATTAAGGTGAAAGGATCTCTCCATCCGAAGCGGAGGCGGCGGACTATCCACCGAACACCAGCGGCGGCGGCGGAGACGGCGGCCACGGCGGAGGAGGAGGGAGAGGGGTCGGGGGCGATGGCGTCGGTTGCCGCGGCGGAGGGCGCGGCGGCGGCGCTCCGGTCGGTGCTGTCCCGCGCGCAGCAGGCGGCGGCGCGGTCGGGGCGGGCGCCGGAGTCCGTGCGCGTGGTGGCGGTGAGCAAGACGAAGCCGGTGGGCGTCATCCGCGGCGTGTACGACGCCGGCCACCGCTGCTTCGGGGAGAACTACGTCCAGGAGCTCATCGACAAGGCCTCCCAGGTTTCCCTCGCCCTACTTAGCTTTCCTCGCGGAGCTCTCGCCCTTTTATCTTTTCTCGCTGGCTGTGTGATTGTGAATTTATCGATTGCGATTGAGAGAAAATTGTTGATCCAACTCACTCCTGAGGTCTCATAGATATACGGTAGTGAGCAATTTAGCATCGTCATGCATTTTCCCGTAATAAAAATCAGCAAGTAGTTAATTTCGTAATCAATCCTTCGCAGCGCGTTAATTTTGTGTGTAAGCTTTACTGCTTCGTCGATTAGAATAGAATCATCGATCATGTTAGCTTGTTAGTAAATGAACTGGAAAGCGGCTTTGTAGTAGAATCTTGATCCTCGAACATTATAGCTCCATTTGGAACACTGAGTTTCATAGGTTTTTCACAGCAATTCCATAGCAAACAGTTCGATTCTGGGTAAAGAGCAGAGGGATCCCCGTGTTGTCAACTGATTGGAAGCTGTAGGCGCTCTGCCGTTGCACTATGATTAGTTCCAAAGAGTTTGGCTTACAATCAGTTGTACTTTGAAGAGAGGATGTGTTGGTTTTGTGTGGTGATAATTTTGTTTGGATTGGCCTCACATCATGTGAATCATGTACATCACTAAACCTTATCTGTAGATTATTTTGAGATATTCTCATTCATGGTTTCTCTTCTCATGGTAATGTATACATAAGTATTGTTTGATTTTGAACCTGTAGTGAATCATGATTCATGAAAATAAAGATAAATGTCAAGGAATTCACTGATTATTCCTCTCACCGTGTTCTGTGTTCATATGTAACAAGCACTCCACTTAGTGAAGCATTATTCCTTTTCTTCCTCTTTTATATTCACTTGGAGTTCTTCTTGGATGTTTTTCTTGAATTAAATGACCTCAAACATATTCAAACTTTGGCAACTGAGCAAGTATTGTCTGTTTTGCAGCTTCCAGAGGATATTGAGTGGCATTTCATCGGGAACCTTCAAAGCAACAAGGCCAGAGCCCTCCTAGGTTGGTACTTGTAATTAAGACGATGTGCTTGAACTTTTTTTTTCCCTCTCTTTCACTGGTTAGCCATGGCTATCTCTAAAACATGGCTTTAGTTTCTTACTGCCAATTTTGTCGGCCGTTCAATATATGCTTTCTTGTTCTTTTATTCTAGCAGCCAGAGTTATCTACTCTCAATTACTCAGTTTGTTGAATAGTTAACTGTGCAATTGACTATTATGTGGGCCTTCTGTATGTTCCTAAATGTAAAGCACTGAATTACATTCTTGTTCTGGTTTCATGGAACGTTAGACTCATTCTTTATCAATGAAGCTATCAATTTTGTTTGAATATTAGGTATTTGAAGTTTTTTTTCCAGGTTTAAAATTCAACTAAGTTTTATCTTCTTGTGTTTTGACCTACAGCTGGTGTACCAAATCTTGACATGGTCGAGAGTGTTGATGATCAGAAGGTAAACATCAAATTAATATTTCTTCGTGTGATTACTTTTTGCTTTGAAATACTAACGCTATAAGATACACCATATTTATCTGATCAATCATCAACTCAACATACTTATTTTCGGATAATTAGGTATCACTTACAGGTTCAATGAAAGTAACATAACAAAAAAATAGTATGCCTTAATGATTGCATATCAATGTTGTAGTAGAACTTGATATTATTTCATATTTTGTATAGCATGACTTCAGTTGCATCACTCATAAGTTAGGGAAGAATAATTGGTTGTCAGATCAGTTTCGCAATCTTGCAACTGTAACAAGATAAATGCAATGTTTGCTTTTTCAGATTGCCAATCGCCTTGATCGTGTGGTAGCTGACTTGGGAAGAAAACCCCTTAAAGTCTTAGTCCAGGTCAACACCAGTGGAGAAGAATGTGGGTACTCTAATTTCCTTTACAGTACTACTTTTTAACTTAATTTCTGGTAGCAACAGATCTACATGCGTTGGGTTGGTTATAAACTTACAATAGAATTCATATGATTGTTTGCATCTCTGTTCCTTATTGTTATACTGTCCAGCATTGCTACGCATCGGATTGTCTGTAGTCATGGATAAGTACGTGGAATGATCAATCTTGCATATGGAAGCACTATATTCTTGTGCACAAGCATTGAATATTTTATCCATAGCTCTGAAATTGAATTGCCATTCTGCAGCGAAATTTGGAGTAGATCCATCAGGATGTGTAGAGCTTGCAAAGCATGTCAAATTAGGCTGCCCGAATCTCGTGTTTTCTGGTTTGATGACAATAGGGATGCTTGATTACTCCTCAACTCCAGAGAATTTCAAGGTTATTTTCTGAGACACACTTAGCTGGACTATATTTTCCATAGGGGTAAGGCCTAATATATGTGCAATTTGTTGAACAAATAGGCACTGGCTAATTGCCGGAAAGAGGTGTGCAAGGAGCTTGGAATTCCAGAGGAGCAGTGTGAACTGTCTATGGGCATGTCTGCTGATTTTGAGCAAGCGGTAAGAACAGGTTGCAACCATCATGTTAATAGATTTAGTAACTCAATGTCTAACATTTTCTACTGTTTCTGCGTTTCTACAGATTGAAATGGGAAGCACAAATGTTAGAGTTGGATCGACTATATTTGGTGCAAGAGAATACCCAAAGAAGAATTAGGATGGTTATGCGATCAGGTTTTGCTGCGACATAGCATGCATAGAATATGTATGATTTTGCTTTAACAGTTGGAAAGTTGATAATAAATTATCCATTGAAACTTCAGCTTTTTGCACCATTTGGAAATAATAAGGATATCAGTTTGCCTGAGTGCCTAATCTTTTATTTAAAATATTCAGACAGCATAGGATGACAGGAATTCCAATTTATTTCTTTGGTTCTTAAGCTGTATCCTGCCTGATTCATCCTTAGTTTCACAATAATATAGGCATTAAGTGGTCAAATACTTCTAAGCACCTTGACAGGTGCAATCAACAAACACCCATTCTTTTTATGAACGAAACAAACATCTATTCTGCCTAAATGTGAATTGACTTTTTTGTGATACTGTGACAACAAACCGCAGATGGCATCCATCTTTGTTTGGATCTCCTCTAATTCCAGTTGATTCTCGTCTTTGCCCTCCTCACCGTAAAGTTTCAAATATCTTCAATTGGTATACGTGTAAAAGCTATCAACTGGAATCATCTGGAAGACTGTAGAGACATTTTAGATGCAGCACACGGCATTTGGAATATCATAGACAGGCACCCCAAGAAGGCACTTCAGCTCATCACCTGAGCTGAAGCCCATAGTCATCCAACCTTGTTGCATTGTAGCAGATAGATTCTGATAACTCCTAGCAGCAATCAGAAAGATAAATATGGAAATGAAAAAAAAAAGAACATCTTGAAAGGTTTGTAATTTTCTTGCTTGTTTTGTTTCTAGTTTTTACACTTCCCATATACTCCCTAAAAAAAGGAGTATAAAGTCTAATTGCCTGGCTCTGACTGGCAGTAATTTCCCTAAAGAATAGGGAGAACAATTCCATGCTCGGCATGGTTTAAAGTTGATCTATTTGATTTGTTCTTTTTTTTTTTACAATTGTCATAAGTTTCACATCTTCTTGATGCCCTCATCTCCTCAAGCCACATAGGGTATGTTCTTACTATAACAAATGATTTAGTCTTTTAACTTTTCATAGACCACAGAAGCTATGTTTCATTGTGTGATGTTGTATGAAATCATAACTTGTCTCCTACAAAAATTTAAAACAATTGATTAACTCATCATTTACCCAATGATCTCTGATTTTTTTTCCCTGAACAATACTCGTTTTGCCATCGCCATTGCTCTATAATTCGCAGGTTCCATGCTTCAATTCCAGTAAACTTCTCTAAGAATTATGTTGTCCACATCAAGGTTCTTTATACCGTACTGTTGTACAACACTGAATGCTTTTTGTCACAGTTTGGAAGATAAAGATTATCCTCACAGAAGAAATTCCCTAATCTGTCAAATACAATATGCATGGTTGATCTTCCACTTGCAGAATCCATTCCATTCCTTTCATTATAAATATCATTGCTGCAACTGCCCAAGGTTCCATGTTTCCCACAATCTGCCACATACAGTGTGGCATGGGATCTCCTGAGACCACACTCTACCTGGAATCCCTACCCTATATCAGACCAGATGCTCCTTATCCATATGAAATTCCATCATCCTGGTCTGTTTTGAAAGATTTACCGATGGCAAAAGCGATCTCGGATCGCGGCATCGCTTGCTGTCCATATCTGGTGAGAAAACTAGTGGGGAGAAGAGAAGCCTCTGCTGCTTTTGGAGATTCGCTTTAAGTTATTGGATAGAGCAGCACTGATCAAGTGGTTAATGGCCATTGTTGTTCTTGAGGGATTCTGTGTGGAATCTGGCTCCCCTGATTGCTGATCTGACCCTTCGAGAGGTTGATTCTGGGTTAATACGGCAGAAACTGAAATTGTCTGTAATTATCACTAGCTGTGGTTCAGACTTGAGAACATTGTTCTTGAGCTGACGATAACTCTAAGGAATGATGTGGTCTGAATGTGAAAGTAAAAGATAAGAGTAAGTTCTGTGACAATTTGATAATCCAGGTACCACAGTACTGACTGAAATTACTGAATTGTCAAGTATAGCTGACATGAAGTACAAAATGTATTAGTTTCCTAGTATTTCTTTGTCCCTTTGCATCAGATGTCTGATTGGATCAGTCCCTATCCCGGATCCAGAGTTTAATAGCCTCACAAATGTCCAAGGATGCTCTTTAGCCTTTGTTGTAGCTTCAGTGATATACCTGCAGAAGTAGCTTTTGTTGTACGTAGCAAAGCAAGATTTTGTCAGTTTGGCTGCTCTGTATTGTCTCAAATGAAACAAGTTTATCAGAACATAGGATAAACTAATTTAATTGCTGATCTTCTTTGACTCCTAAGATCATCATAACTTGCAGGTCTCTTTACGTATACGCATGTCGGCATGTGTAGACCATGGATTAAGTTAATCTGACAGCCAGTATTCACATTGGTTATCTCTGATCGTGTGTTAATTCACTCCCAAACATCATACATAGTACCGAGTTACATTGTTACGTATCGACAGTCTAGTGGATTGCTGATCATCCTTACCGGATAAAAGAAAGAAATCATAATCGAAAAAGTAACCTTGCACAGCACGATCATCGTTCATAACAAAAATTATCAGGTGTATCAGGCCTTTTCAAAATGCAGCCACCTTTTGTGCAAAAAAAAACGCCGCAAATCGTTTCCGTCGCCGCCAAAATGTTCCATATTCCTTACCAACCTATCTATCAGCTCATCTTTTTCACAACCCAGAAATGGTGCCAAGCATTATCCCAAAACCAAAAGAGAGAGAGAGAAGAAAAAAAAAACCCGCAGAAATGCATAAATCGATCGATCGCCTTTAATTATTCCTCTGAAGATTCTTTAACTCCATCTTCACCCAGCATTTGCACGCGCGATATACCATTTCGCCAACATGCATAAGAACACTATATAAGCATGCCTTCCCTAACCTCTCAAATGCAAGCACAACCAGCAGATCAGCATCACTAACAAGTGACACAACCTCGATCGATCGGGCGATCACCGCCGGTGACATCCATCCAGCCAAAGATCCCGGCGCATTCCGCGGCCAGGTCGTAGTCGCCGGAGACGGGGAAGAAGACACTAGGCACATAGACATTTGCATATATAGAGATGGACAGGGTGACAAGGCTGGCGTCGCAGAAGGCGGTGGTGGTGTTCAGCAAGAGCTCGTGCGGCATGTCCCACGCCGTGACGCGCCTGCTCCGGGAGCTCGGCGTCGACGCCCGCGTGGTGGAGCTCGACGAGGAGCCCGCCGGCGCCGACATGGAGAACGCGCTCGCCGGGATGTTGCTCGCCGGCACCGCCGCCAACGGCGGTGGCCGCGGCCGCGGCGTCGTGGTGCCGACAGTGTTCATCGGCGGCAGGCTCGTCGGCTCCACCGACCGGGTCATGTCGCTCCACGTCGCCGGCGGCCTTGTCCCGCTCCTCCGCGACGCCGGCGCGCTCTGGGTGTAGCCTGCCACACCAAGCTGCATGCCAGTGTAGTAGAGAAGCCAGCCAGCTCCAGCTGCTGGCTAGTGTACGTATACGTATGTACCACTGTGCGTGGTAGAATCGCCGTACTTATACATACCGTACGTATCTGATCACTGCACAGGTTGTACGACTTGCAGCCCCTTTTTTGTCGCCATGATATATAACACAATAATGTAAAAAACAATAATACATGGAGAGCAAATTAACTACTACCCCGTCTCAAAATATAGCACCCTAATATCAAATGAGACATCCTAGATACCAGGAATTTGGACTGTTGGGTACTAAGTTGCTATATGTTAGGACAGAGGTAGTAATAAAGTTTGACTTGAAACCAACAAGTTCAGTTCACATTTCCCCAGCATTAGAAAAATAAACCTACGGTGAGCATTGCAACTCTACGACGAGGTTTCGCGTTAGCAAGAAAACTTACTCGCGGTAAGGGAGAGGCACCCGTCGTCGTCACTCGTCTTCCAGTTGCCGTGCCTTCCAAGTTGCTAGTTGATATATGGCAATTGAGGGGCTCTCCTGCTGTGGCAGCGGCTGCAGATTTGGTCCTCTTTCGCAGTTGACGCTTGGTAAGAGGTGGTGCCTTGGGTTGATGTGAGTTGATCAGGTTTTTTCTACAGTAGTTCAGCGTCGTCTTGATCACCGTCGACATCGTCAGCTTCGTTCTCTTCGTCCTCTTCAGGCGCGTCCGGGTCTACTCCCTGCATATGGAAAATCAGAGTCATTTTTTTTCTTGTTCTGGATGTGAGAGCTGGGTAGGCTCCATGATAGATGGTTACATATGGAACACGAACCTTCATTTGCTTCTCTAAGCGTTCCAATCCTTTCTTTGCGGCCTCATTATGTGGGTTTATCCTGCATCACGGGTGGAAACTTTTTCAACTAGAACATGAAATAGTTATGTTGGCACATGGATAAGTAGTAGCCAAAGGTTATAAAAAAACGAATTCCACCAGCTGAAACAGTAGTGTCTCCAAAAAAATTTGTATCATACAGATAATTCAGTTCACCCCGTCCAACCCAGTTATCGGATTCAGCACAAAACTTAACTGCTACATAGTCCAGGAACCAGCATTACAATCTTACCCACATACTTTAGTTATATCCAGTATATCAATGCATTATATATTGACTACTTGTGTGTTGAGTGTCTCAAGTACTCTTTGGGTTTCAGGTCAATAACAAAAGAGGAAACACGCTATTGCAACAATGATGCTATTTGACAGTTCAACTCCAAGAGAAAAGTCGCACCTTAGAGCAGATTGGTAGTGGGAAAGTGCATCAGAAAGCATATTCGTTGCTGCAAAAACTTGAGCCAACTTGATGTGTAGAGAATCATCTGTCCACTGTCTTAGATATCTTTCAAGCAGCAATACTGCATCCTTATTTCGTCCTTCAGCGACATGCAGATCAGCCAAAGCCAATGCAGCTCCCAGAAATCCAGGTTCAAGACGAATGGCGGATTCATAGAACTTCCTAGCCTGGAAATTGTGCAATGAATTTGTCAAAGGGTACTATTATTGAGGGGAAGTATGCAAACTATAATTGTGACCAAGTGACTAACTGACCATTACCAAAATATAATTGAGGTATAAATGACCAAGGAAAATAAATATTACCTTCTCTCTCCCACTGGAACTGATAGCATGCACATCACCAACTAATTTGAGAGCTTTTGCAGACTGATGCATAACCTTCATTGCTTCACGTGCAGTGAATAATGCATCTTTGCATTTAGAGAGCGCTAGATAAGCACGTACCAATCCTGATATAGTATATGTATTAGACTGATGGTATGATTTGATCTTCAAAATCAGGAGCATCACCAAAATACCTTGATAAGAGCGAAGATCGGCCCTAAGTTCTTGAGCTCCCCTGAAGTCTGTGACTGCCAAATCAGGTCGATTCAACAAAAGATGAAGATTTCCCTTGAAAAGCAATAAGCAAACAATAAGCCTGACGTGTGGATAAACAAAAACAAAGGTAGCAAAGTTACAAGTATACAACTTCCCAGAGTAAATACCAAGAAAAACCATCACAACATTTTGGTTTTAACTTTGATAAAATAACATTTTGGTTTTAATCCCACGCAATTCATTGCAGAGATTTCTCTATAATACTTTGCAAAGCAAGAAAATGCCACTGCATGTCTACAACAGTGCAAAATCCAGTCGTTCGGACAATCTTTTGCATTATTACCTTCATGATATATCCAGTTATATGTCTATCATCAACTCGGAGACTCTGTTGAAGGAAAATCAAGGAACATTAGGATCAAGATTAGCTTTCAATAAAAGATTATGTAACGATACAAACCTTTTCAGCATATGTCAAAGCTTTTCTTTCATCTTTTCTTTCCCACAATGCTGCAAGAGCAAGACATGTTTCTGGTCTTGCAGGGTCAATATGCAGCATATCATGTACCAACTTGTTAAGCTTTGTGTAGTCAGATTTTGACTTAAGGAGAATTGCATACTCATCCATATATGTCATGATGTTTGGATCAATTAACCGAGCCTGCAAGGAAGCAAATAATTTTACCACATACTTACGTTTTAAGGGGTTCCAAGTCTATACTTGTTAATTTTACCTTTTCAAAGTTCATGATAGCTTCATCATTCCTACCTATGATGGCTTCAACCTTCAAATAATAAGCTCCAAATTCAGGATCAATTCATAATGGAGGGGAATTAAATCCACCAAATGAAAATTTTAAGAGGAACTCCAAAATTTCAACACATAACAAAAGGAAATTTTATAGACAGGACAGAGGAGCACAGCAGAACCAAACATGAAGTACATAAACAATAAGAAGTATGACATAGCCATGGTGCTCAATGCATCAAGAATCCACATGTTACAGAGAGCACATAAAACATAAACAGAATGCTTGAAGAAAAACAAACCTTAGCAATTTCCAGCAAGATGTGCACATTGTTCGGGAATCGCTGCATTAAGTCTAGATATATGTCAAGGCCACCTAAACAAAAAAATAACATGATTATATTTTGCGACCACTATAAATGAATTTGGCATATCAGTATTACTTCTTCAAGTTTATGCTTAACAGATGAGAGGATACAAGCAAACAAATCGAAGTTAAGAAATGTTGACTATCAAGCTTTACCCAGTGGCACAAGGACCAACACCAAAGGAACAAGGGCCAACAGAAAATTAAGACATAGATGACAATACAGGGTGATATAACACATTAACACTACATATCATTTGTTTAGTAGTGGAAATCCTCTGTAATCATGCAACACGATTTTTTGACAATGACAAAAATAAAATAAGTGCATCTTACGTTTAGAACTGTCAAATGAATTTGGATTAATGCTATTTTATCACCTTTATAATCATGTGAAGCAATGCAACATTGGGCCTCAACATAGCGCTGTTAAGAAAACAATGATTTAAGTCAATAATTGTTTGAGTCAACCAATAACAAGAACAATAAGTATGATCAACTGTATGCTGCATGAGTTAAGTAGAGTTTGCAAGGAAACTCTTATACATAATTGAGCCCAAATCTAAAGCAGCACTGTAGCTGTGAGCGGAACAAAATGGGTTCTTCTGATAAATCCACAACATAAAAAAAAATACAACTGCATGTGATCAGTAGGTACAATATCATGGTGCTTCCTAATGTTCTAGTATTGATCACAGTATCCCCACTACAAGAAAACAATAGAAGTGCAGGTGTGCATTTGTTGACGCAGTGGTGACAAATTATTTGTGGTCAGGGAAAAGAACTCCATGAGTTAAAAGCTGTGCATGATAGAACTGTTCCACAAGTGGGCTCAGTTCATACAATGGTAACATAGAGCTGAAAAGGAAAGGACTTCATTCCCACTCTTCCAATTTAATAAGTTTCGAAAGTAAAAGTGGTTTTGAGGTTCAATAATCAATGTAAATAAAATATACTAAGAAAATCCAGCATAGAAGTTTACTTGTATCAAACATAAGAAATGTCAAATATTTTTGGGGTTCGCATGTTCTATCTACACAAGGGTGCAAGTAGTTCACTTACGTTCCACCAACGCTGTGCATCTAAAGAGTCACCTGGAGCCTTGCCTCCTCGATTTGGTGCCTACAGAGAATACCACATCTTCAATTGCATGATAAACTGATGTGCGCTCATTATTTCCTTTTTGCAGTGCTCACGGCGCCAAAGGAAATATAGAAAGGATAAAAAATTGGTGGGATGATGGTTCTGTAATAACATTGAATTGTGCGAAGGTAAATATTGTATATGAAATAAAGAGATCATCAATAAAATAAAGGGATATATTATATAGAACTATTAACAGCATGTAATTTACTTCTTTTTCTCTGTTGCAGTATGCATCTTCCATCAATAAAATATCATTGTTTATATGATGCTGAGAAATGGTCCTTTGATGTAAAGCAAAACAAACAATGACCTATGTAGTTGTGTAGCAATACTGGCCAAGGCATGGCATCAATGGGATTAGACAGCCTATATACATGGCAAGCATAATAGGCAACCAGAAAAAATGGCAGGCAATCAAGCACTCAAGAGTCTTAGGATCTAGCATAACTAGTATTTATCTGACCTCACTAAAACTGCACTATATTCAGTTTGAAAATACAAGCTGCCTATGGAGCAAAACACTTACTTGTGAGAATATCAAAGAGAACTCCTTTGAAGAAAGCCCCATTTCAGCCAAAGCTGTAATAGCCTCAAAAACATAAGGGCATTGCCTGTCATAAGAGCATATAGATGTAGAAAGAAATTTGTCAAACTAAATCTTCATGAAATGGCCAAGTGAGGGGCAATATTTTTAATGGTGAAAAAAAATGTTGGTTTCTGTATCAATGTTTAGGGGGAAACGTGATATGCAAAAGAAAATGGTAGTTATGTGATCGTTTGCACTGTTGCAGAATTGAGGAGCTAGGAAGCAAAATAATTTGGCATTGCATACCTCAGGCACTCTTTATAACATACAGCAGCTGCACGATTATTTCTGGATATCCGATATAGCTTCCCTAACATCAGATTCATTTTTAGAGTCCTCGCTTTAGAAGGAATCCCTTCCATCTGCAGGCAACATAGAGGCCATGTTTTGCATCATATGTCTTCCATCATACAGAAGAAGCTACCACAAGTGAGTCCGAGTCATCCTACATATATTCAGATGATCCTGCCTTTCCACTTCCCAGGATGGAGTAACATTCAGGAATATAATAGAGAACTAAACAAAGGTGAATGAAAAATGGAAACCTCTTGAAGTGCTTCACGATGCTCACGTAGAGCAGAATAGCAAAGTGCAATTTTAAATTTCACCTGCAACAGTAGAAAAAGAATGAGTTGCTTGCTAGATATGACAAATAAATAACAACGAACGGAATATCTAATGGCCTGCCGAGCTGTTTTCACCTCATTTTCATTGAGTGGTGCAAGACTTGAAGAATTTGGAGAAGGAGACCGGCCAGTGGCAGTTACTGAGCTTCTAGTATTACTTGTTGCTTGCCTAGGAATGTTTTTGCTGTATTGCATAGCTTGTTTGTAGGCACTCTACCATGGTGAAACAGGAAATAAGAGACTAAGATTTCAGAACTGGGGTCTGAATCATGTGTTACATTTCCGAATACAATGAAATCCCAAAATGCATTATCGTTTTTCTATCAACATAGATTTATCGGCAATATTACCAGTGCCCTGCGAAATTCTTTCTCTCCATGCAAAGCATCACCATGCAGTACCTGCAATACACTGACACCTTAAGCTCCAAGAAGATCAATATTGGACCTTCTAGACAACAGAAATCGACAATGTAAAGTTCTTCTAGATGAAGAATCCTCAGTTAAGCTCCTAGCAACAAAGCAACAACATAAACAGACTTCCCATAGATTAAGTAGCGTAAATGCTTCAACGATCCAACTCTGGACAGAACAAGGACTATCAATGGTTAAGACCAAATTAGCACCATTTCCCGAGCTACTCAATGGAGCTTACCAAGCTTTCCACCTTCATGGACATACCAGCCTCGCTGCTCGCAGGTGATGAAGACACAAGAAAGCACCCCTGCAAGTAACAAACTAGCATTATCTCCACCCGAAATCAATCTCGATACATTATGAAACAGATAACAAAGACAAAAAAAAAAATATCTCGCGCCCAGCCAGCCCGATCGCACAATCACCCAACCACCCGCCCAACCTCGCGCGGCACAGGCGATGAACCAACCACAGGTCCCAAGACGAGAGACGAGACCCAAGCGAGCCCGATCCACGCGCGCGCAGGTGCAGCGACTGATTCGTGGGGGCAAAAGCGAAACCCTAGTGATTCGGAGAGGGGAACTGGGGCGGGAGGGAGGGGGAGGGGGAGGGGAGGGAAGGGAGGATGGGGGGTTACGGACGAGCGTCTGGGCGCAGTCGTAGAGGCCGGCGTCGACGAGCGCCGCCATTGACTCCCGCGCCGCCTCCATCTCCGGCGACGGCGACGGCGAGGCTACTCGGGGAAAAAGTTTTTGAATTGGAATTTGTGGTTCGGAGATTTGTCCACTCCACTCCGCTGGCTTCACTTGTCAGCTTTCGTTTCAAAATGGATGGGGTTTGCGCTGTTTGGCGGCACATTTTGGCCCGTTTCAAAGTTGTTTTTTGAAATTAAAAGGTCAAATTAAGAAAAAAAATCAAGTCAAATTAAGAGTTATTAGTGTGTACTCCATCCTAATAGACCAACTTTATACTAAGATACGACAACAACTCTATGTTCAGATAAATTGGTTATGTCAATATTTATTTTATTAGATGTGTCACGTTTTTATATGAAATTAGTTTTTTTTCCAGACAGAGGGTGTGTTCCAACCAGGGGTTCCCAACACTAAGTGCCCGCACGGAAAACGGAGTAGCGATTAGCGGGTGATTAATTAATTATTTGCTAAAAAATTTTTCAAAAATAGATTAATTTGATTTTTTTAAGCAACTTTCGTATAGAATTTTTTTAAAAAAAACGCACCGTTTAGCAGTTTAAAAAACGTGTGTGTGGAAAACGAGAGAGATGGGTTGGAAGAGGGGCTGCCGAACACAACCTCTAGTAGTGTCCAAAAGGGCCGAACCGGCATCACCACTGTATTTAACCAACCAGTAAATAAGGGGACCCAACAAAAATAAGCATATGTTGTTGAAAGTTTTTCAAAATATTTACTCCCACCATCTATAAATATAGGGCATTTGCAATTTTGCATCGTCTTTTCCAAACAAGTAAGGCCCCTTTGATTTGTAGGAAAAATGTAGGAATTTTAGAGGATTTCAATCCTATAGAAAAAATCCTATGAAGTCCTTTGAAACAAAGGATTGAATCATATCCAAGCTTTTAAAATTCCCATGGAATGAGTAATCCTATATATATTTTAGAGGAAAGTTAGCAAGAGTTCTAACCTCTTGGAACATTTTCTCTAAGTCTATCTCTCAAATCTCTCTCATTTGATTCATGTGTTTTTCCTGTGGCCCAATCAAACGGCCATTCCTGTGTTTTCCCTGTGTTTTGCAATCCTCTGTTTTACAATTGTATTCCTGCCAGAATCCTATGTTTTTTCTATTCCTTTGTTTTTTCATTCCTACGATTCAAAGGGGTCCTAAAGTTGTGTAAGGCATCAAACGAATTTCATCTCAACCTTAAACACTGCTAGAAAACGTAGAGGGAGCAGTCAATGAAATCTGTGCAATCTTCCAAATGCAGAAAGTAGAGCACGTCCAAATGAAAGCAAACTAGTGATTGGCACGGAGAAGGGCACAAATAACCACTGCATCAAAGGGCATACAATGTATTTTTGCGTATATAGACTTGCAGTTGCAAACCGAATTACATGCGTGGTGTCGCATAGACGTACAAATTCCACAGGCTGAGGCTTTCCTTTCTGCATCCAACCAAGCCCTGCGGTAATACATCTGGTCGACACGACAAAACCATGTTCAACTCAAAATATGTCAGATTTCACTCCGGTTACACAAATGGAACACTTACAGGTTACAACAAGTCTCCCAGCGAACAGGTTGAACTTGATTCTAATACACTATGTAAGCTACAATGGCACACATACAGTGGTACAAGCAATTGCCCGTGCCTTGCGGTTGCGAGATACCAGCAATTGCCAGTGCCTTGCGGTTGAGAGTTTACCAGGTTGGTTGCACGGCAGCTGGAGAACTCAGGCCTCTTCCACTTGCTCTTCCTCTTCCTGGAGGAGGTTCTCTCTGTTGTCGTGGGCCCAGAAGCCGCGCACATCTATAAGCATGCTGGCAATAGTCCCGCCTTGCTTGCAAGATAGAAGATCTGTTAGTGCGATCCTGAGAGGATCTGCCGGCTTTACCATGTCCCAGATTTCATCCCTCACGTCTTCGATGCAAAGTTCATAGTTTCCGCCTTCAATCCATTTCTGGTGTACATCCCTGGAAACGATGACGAAGTTGCTTGAGTAAGATGAACAATCGAAGTAAAAATAATGATGACTGGTGATCTAACTGGCAAACCTATTAGAAGTTTAATATGAATAACTGTTCCAAAATGGTTTTTTGATGGTAAAACCACTTAGGTCTTGTTCGGTTAATCCCTCCCACAAGGGGATTGAGACGGTTTTGGAGGGGATTTATTCCACACCTATTGTGGTGTATTGGTGTGGAATTAATCCCCTCCAATCCCTCCCTCTTGGGATTAACCGAACAAGGCCTTACAAAGGTCCAAAGGATATTACAAATATGTATGACATCTAGTTTGAACCATTCCTATAGTCTATTGAACACATCAAGATTTCCTAATTATTTACTAATTAGTTCTCATAAGAAACTGAGAAAATACTGAAGTATATAAAAATATGTACACGTGCAAATGAAGATGTTGCACTTGTGAGTATGTAAGAAACAGCGACACCTATGTGCGATTGAACCAATGTCATGGTGATGTCCTGCCCACTAAGGCCAGCAAAACTGTCTAATAGTTCAGCAAGCAAACAAAATGGCAGATTAAATCTAGGAAGATTGTATCAGGCAGGAATGCTAACTCTCACATCCTCCTTTCTTTTCTTCCGAGATAAAAGTTAACAGAGGAATAGAATAGCAGTAAATTATTCAGCATGTGATTGCAGAGGCTGTTCCCAATTTTGACAAAAACAATGCTAGCTCAACTTTTATATGCCATGGAAAAGCTATTCTAATGAACAACAATCAACTTTCTCCTGCTTAAGCCACTTTTCCGAAGCAGATGTTTCCGTCACTGCCCAAAAAATATACAATACAGATTCCCCGTACATACCTAAATAATGTATGGATATCAGCAGTTGTCAGGAATCCCCTTCCATTAAGATCAAGGCATCTAAATAGGTATGTCAATCCTTCAGGAGTATCTTTGTTTTCTAGAGCCAAAACAAAGTCAAGAAAGCTTTCAAAGTCCATTTCACGACTGTTGCCACCTCCAACTTTGCTCCGGCGTACATGCTCATCAAAAACTGGAAAAAGAAAAGAAGTTATAATATTGTTTATCTATTCACGACTAAAGATTTATGAAATACACCATGATCTATGTGTATAATGCATAAAAAAACTTCACATACTGCAATTGCATGTTTCTTTTTGGTTAGGACGTCTAGAAAGACAAACATAAAGTATCATGAGAGCAGATAATGGATTTTAACCTCTTTCAATGAAGATATCAGTCAATGTGCCATCTGCATATTCCTTGAGCTCCTGTTTGCTCAATGTTCCATTTGTATCTTTGTCAAGTGCAAGAAACATATCTGCATGGGACCATGCGCATTAGGTAGATCATCAACTATACTGCAATAGAATGGCAAAAGGTAACTTTTTGGAGAGCACTGATTGTGTGCTACTGCTACCCAAAAGAAAAATCAGAAAACCAGACATGAGGGTGGCTGGCATACCACAAATGCGCTGAGCTGACGTCAGGGAAAACCAATTTTCAGCCTGCTCAGTATCAGTAACCTCTTCCTCACTCTCCTGAAAATATAGTTGATAAGAATCGTAACCACAAAGAAACAGAATATAGGATACAGCAATATTATGTTGTAAGCCTATAAGGGTATAAAATTTACAGAGTTTCTACCAGCAAACCATGAAATATGTTTCTTCTATTACCTGATGTAGTTCCATAAGTTCCTGAAGACAATTGCTCAGCAATACTTTCTTTATGCATGCTTTCCCTGAAAAAAAAATGTATCGATTACAAACAGTTAGCTACTCTTACAAAGAATAAATGTATCGATTAAAGTAATTTGCATATTAATACAACTGCACTTAAAGGTTGGTTCTAAACCTCGTCTGTGTGGATCGCAGAAGAAAAAGAACTTGCGTGCAGCTATGCGGCAGTACATTTGAACAAATGCTGATGGCATATCACGCAGTTGTGCCAAATTGGGGATAAGCCCTCTTATGTATGCTTCCATTTCCTGTTAATAGAATTAAGTCATGTCAAACATTACTAAGGTGTGCAATGGCGTTAACGTGTGTTAGGATGTCCTTACATGAGGTTGAAGGAAACCATCAGAATCCTCATCAAGCTCACTCATATCAATTCTCGCTTGTGTGAGAGATACCTGAAGAAATTAGTTAAAAGAATGTCATACAATTGTATACGCAAGGAAAAAGAAACAGTAGCATGCATGATAATGATTTGAAATAAGTTACAGCTATAAATATGGATTCAGCAAAAAATTTGCTGGATGGGAATTCAGAGTTTATGTGATGTTTCAGACTTAAATGTGACCCATTCTGATGTAATAGGAGGAAACGATTTTAGCTTCCTTGGGCATTGTTACACCCATCAAGTTTATTTTGGTGAATGACATGACTCATGTTCTTGTATTGTAATAGCGATTTGGTGTTATTGCTTTGAATGGCTTTTCTAATAAAAGCTAACTAACAATAATAATGGAGCAACTGATGATAACATATAACTAGCCTACTTTGTCATTTAGTAAAAAGAACTAGGAGTACATCCAATGGGAAATTGGAAAAGAAGCATGGTGTGGGCTAGAATTACCAGTTTATCAGAGATGCAAATGGAAGACATCAAATATTACACAAAACAAATTTGGTAATCCTAATAATATTTGTTTGAAAATAACTTACTGTCCGCATAACATAAAGATAAAATGGTAGGATTGCAATTCTCCCAGAATCATCCTTCTCAAACTTCATAAAATTTGAAGGGCTGAAGAAACGCTTGCACTTCTGGCCGATCTGCTCTGTGCATACTGTTGCAATATGGCAAAAGTCTTCATAATTCATCTGCAAGACTCCAGAAAAATAGATGAGCAAGGTAATCGAACCAAAACTGCTACATGAACAACTACACCAAACACAAATACAGATACAAGGATCATCGTTAGATTTACAGGGCAGTATGTACACCAAATTCAAGCAAGTAGCAATGAACTAAAAAAATCCCCTAAAAGAGATTAAGCATATCACACCAAAAGATTTTTTTCATTTTGGATGAGTTTTTTGCGTGCATATTGTAGACATATGATGCATATTGTCATCCAAGGATCTGAACTTTTTAGATTAAAAACTGGCAGATTGCTGGTCTGAAATAAAGGTACATAAAACAACCTACCTTTTCAGCACCTGTAGCATCATCAATAACGCAATTTTCTCTGAGACAAACCCACATGGCATCAAGATCATCAGCATTAAGCAGAAGTTCAGATTGTTTCTGCCATTTGTTTAAAATAACTATTGTAAGGCCCAAACCATGAGAAGGTTAAATGGCAATGCAAGTAAGCTGCCAACCAAACACGAATATCTCAATAGCAATAAGAAGAAATCAAACATTACCTTTAGAAACCTGTACTTTGCCAATTTCTGAACTCTATTGCTAATGGATCCATCTTCAGGTTTCTGTCCATAAAGGAGATATTAATTTCATGAGTTGACGAGAAGGCAATGCATTCTTGAATCAGAACTAAACTATGATACTTAGGAAACCAATATCTTTTTTATCATCGTTTGTCAAAGCAGCTACTGTTGTCAAGATCTTTATTTTGCTTACGCTGCGAATTTGATAATAACGTAAAAGATTATGAAATCTCGGTATCCAATAAACTGAACCAAGCTGTGCACCTTCTTATAAAAACTTGGAATGGCACCAGCTTCCATACTCTTCCGTTGGCGCTCCTTGAAAATCTCAAGCAGTATCCTTTTTGTTTCCAGTTCTGCGATCAAAGGTTTAAAACAAATAGTTTACAAGCAGGCACATGAAAAACATGCGAATATTGATCAACAAAGCAACCATGTTATTGTAGCAAATGCACCCAAAAATTGCATGCCAATGAGACATCTTATCTTATAGTCCCTAATTCCACAAATGCGATTAAAACAGAAAAGGACAACTAAGCCTCAACTATATGCACTATATGGATCAAAGTTTTCCTGAACTAGCTGGGAGATATCCTCAAGCCACATTACCAATAGCCTCAGCTTACGTATCAACAAGTAAAACGCACATGACTAAAATCTGATGTTTGTCTTCCTACAATGCCACTACTCACTCGTCTGTGGCCGATAAGCCTACAGTGCCTTACTACTCCTACCACTACTTACTCGTCTGTGGCCGACAAGCCTACAGTGCCTTACTAGTTACTACTCCCTATGTACCAAAAAAAACCCAATCCTAGCGATGCACCCCAGGATTGGGTTTTTTTTTGGGGGGGGTGGGGGATGGAGGGAGTATGTGAAAAGGACTCCCAGAAGATTTCATCTTGTGACTTTTGTGAAAGCCTCAAAGGTGAAAAGCATATGCCTCTCCACCCAAATCACCCAGTGGAAATCAAGCAAGAGTGAGTTCATTTCAACATCCACCGGCTGCATTATGCAATTTCAAACCTGAGGCACTATAACTCATCCAGTAACCCTTCCCACTAGAGCACCCTAACTTCTACTCCCCAATAGCATCACCATTTCGTGGAAGAGACGCGTAAACCCTAACCTTATCGCCATCTCCACGACGAAGACTCAAAATCCCAGCCCATCACCCTACATTGCCACTACTGACTGCGTCCACAGCCGGCAAGCCTTCCTCTGTGCAGAGGACTCCCAGAAGCCTGAACATCTTGTGAGTTGTGACCTTCGTCAAATGTCAAGAAACTATGCCGCTCCACCCAAATCACCCACTGCAAATCAAGCAAGAGCGAGCCCATTCCACGCATCCACACGCTGCGTTATGCAATCTCAAACCTGAGGAACACATAATAGTAATCCTTCCCACTAGAGGGGGGCCCATAATTTCTCCTCCCCAATCACATCATCATTTTCATGGAAGAGACGCGTAAACCCTAACCGCACCGCCATCTCCACGATGAGGAACGGAATCCCGGCCCGGCCAAACACCACAGGAAAGGAGAAGGGATGGGGCGGCGGCGAACGGCACTGACCCATCAAGGCCTCGGATCCGAGGCCGGCGCCCGTGCCGACGAAGCGGCGGAGGTTGCGGACCCACGGCATGGACGAGGCGGGCGGGATCCGCCTCCCGCCGCCCCCCGCGGCCGACGAGGCGCCATCCCCGCCGCCGCCGCCGTCCCCGCCGTCGCCGGAGGCGGTGCTCATCGCCGGCGGGCGGCGAGGTGGGCGGCGGATCGGAGCTCGTCGGAGCGCGTGGGGTGGGGGGAGTGAGGCGTTGTGGCTGTTGTCGCCTTGTCGGCTCGATGGCTCGAACGCGATTCGATTTTTGGTTGGTGTGTCGAGATCGAGCCAGCCGGATGCGTGTTGTTGGGGGTGAAGAAAAAAGACAAAATGCGTATGAAATGAAATCTTTCGAATTCGAAATACTGCAGATTTCATTCGATGTTTCTTTTCTATTTGCAAAAATATAAAATTCATTTTTTCCCTTAAAGGTGGTTGAGCTCTTATCTCTACATTCCTAACTCACATTTCTCATTTTTCGCACGCACACTTTTCAAATTGTTAAACGTGCATATTTTACAAAAATTTTCTATATGGACATTACTTTAGAAAATAATATTAATCTATTTTTAATATTTTAGCTAATACTTAATTAATTATGCACTAAACGATGCTTTGTTTTGCGCGCTAGGGAGTTAGGCTTCCCAACCCTCTCCCGAAGCATAGCCAGTGTAGGGTAAGTGATCGTCATGTGTATACGGTTATAACAATGATGGTGTTAGACTTATAGATGGTTAAGTCATGCGGAGCAATGTAAAATTGATGGTGTTGTCAAGTTAATGGAGCAATGTAAAATTGGTGTGGATCTAATTTATTCCAAAAGAACCTTGCTACAACTGTAGCTCTTATGGGTGGGCAGAAAAAGACCGGACCGAAAAGACAAGATCAAGACCGAGCAATTCGGTCCTAAGTAGTGAAATGCCGAATTTAGTTTGGTCAATTCGGCTAGTCTCATTGGTCAACCGAAAAGACCAAATTAACAAAAAAAAATGTCCAAATGCAACTTACGATCCACTGAGTTCAATAGGGTTAAATTCTAATTTTTCACATCTCTATTCCTTCTAGACATGAAAAAAAAAGTCTTTACTCATACGTACTACTCCCTCCGTTTCACAATGTAAGTTATTTTAGCATTTCCCATATTCATATTGTTGTTAATGTCTAGATTCATTAACAACAATATGAATGTAGGAAATGCTAGAATGACTTACATTGTGAAACGAAGAAAGTATTATTTTTGTGATTTTTGTGTTGAAAATTTCTATGATCGCATATATGAAACTATTGTTGAATTTTGGTCTGGACCGAGACCAATAATGAATTTTTCGGTCTTGACATTTTTACGTTAAAATTCGGTCTTCACTTTTCAATGACCAAACTAACCGAAAGGCCGAAGACCGAGACCAAAATTTTCGATCGGACCGATGCCCACCCCTAATGGCTCTAGCCAAATATTTGTACATGGTAAATTGTGGCATAGTGTGCTGGTAATCAAGCACAATTTAATTACTCCGTATATGATATCACTGTGTAGGTTTATGTACTATCTAACTACGATAGAAAATATCATAGTGAATAATATTTATTTCACATCATAACCAGTCTTCAGAGACATTGAAATATGTTGAAGTAGGTCTCAAATTTAGAAGAGAACAGCAATTTTTTCGTGCTAATTTACCTACAAGATATCAAAAACTAGGTACGGTTAATATAATAAGGGCGATACATTGTTTAAACACATACCAAAAAATCAGTAGGTTATAAATGGATCGTATCACTGTCAAATAAAATAAAATGAACTGTTCGTTTGTATGAGAATTTAATAGGCGAAATTTGCCATTGTAAGAGCAACATAACAATGGAAAAGCAATGCTAGTTGGTATTAGCTAGTTCATGTACATTCACATGTAAAATAAAAAATTGCTATAAGAGGCTTATCAAATAATATATTTTTATAATATGACAACATGGCGCTCGTTTTAGCTGTCAATATCCCAAGTCTCCTCTTCCCTCCCTACCCAGCCACCACCGTACCCTCAATTTCTCCCTTCTCTCATTCTCTCTCATTCTCTTTAGCTACTACCACACCCTTTTTGCAGTAGTAAACAAGGACAGTGAGCCTGAAAGCCATTTGGGCAATATAAACCAAAATCCATCATCCTCCATTGTTAATTTATCAATGCCAGTGTCATTTTGATAGTGTTGACCTCTATTGGTCACCCTTGATCTTGGTCTAGCTCCATTCGGTTCCTCCAGGGCATGCTTTACCGCCTATGTTGTTAGTCACGGGCATCCAGGGTGATGTCAATCCCGAACACCAAGGTGATTAACAAACATGAATAGGACTCTTGGGAGCCTATGGTCTTACCGATAAGTTCATCATTAGATTGGTGGGGTTTGGCAGATTCACTAAATGCAACAACTGACTTATTCTAGTGCCTATGTAATATATGAGGCATCGTAAGATAAACATAGCATTAATACTTCTTTTTTATCACGACCATACTTCAACTTACTATATTTATTGAGATATATCCTACATGTTTCAACAATATAGAAATCACCACGCAAACTTAGTTGCATGTTGTTTGAAATTAGATTACAATTGGCAATGTGGTTAATCAGGTGAAACAATGTTTAAAACTTGTCAAAAAAAAAGCATCTATCTATTTATTAGAAAGATAGATGGATCTTACGTAACATTTTATAAAATATCTATAGATGATGTATAGAGGTTGAGCACATGCAAAAGCTGTTGGATATTGAACCCACAGGGATATCATTTACCTAGATTGGGGATATTTTTTAATCGCATAACAAGTAGCAAAGTTGCAATTTATATATGGTTTATTACCAAATCCTCTACACTGAAACACATGATAAATTTATCTTCCACCACCGCACAAGAAAGTTGTCAGGGTTATGGATACCATATACCTAAGCACGGTAGAGCCCACCACATACTATGTCTTATACGGAAACAAACCTCGTATATAGAAAGAGTTGCGGATAAGGAATGACGAGTAGAGTTATATATGGAAACAACATATTGTATCCATATTGGTCTCCCTAGTTCTACTTGAACAAGGGGACATCTATGGGTATAAATACAAGGCCCCCTAAGAGAAGAGGGGACACGCCACAATGCCACAATGACACAAAGCCACAGCAAGATCAATATAGATCAATACAAGCCAACACACGCCGCCAGATATCGACATCAGAGATAAGCCTAGACAAACCTAATATGGTGTCTGCGGAGGTCAACAAGAGAGATATAGCTGCTATCTCTGATCTCGCCGAGTGCGGATTCGAGGAGGAAGACTACCCTGTCGTCAACTACGAGTTGGTTATCCATACCGCCAAGTCGACGACAGTCAGATGAGTTATTCCAATTATTGTACCTGTGTGATTCAGATGAATAAAGAAGCAACACCGGCTTCGGCCAACAGGAGTAGGGCTATTACCTGACAGATAAGGGGCCGAACATGTATAAAAATCATTGTCTCCATCTTTTCTACTTCAATCTCGCATATACCCTGGTACCAACGATCCCTATAGTATGCAAAATACCGTAGTTGTGATATCAAACGTCGACAAAAGTCCATTGCAAAAGGGAGTTTACATGGTGATCCACGATGAGTTGTGGGTGTGCTCACTATAAGAGGGTAGTTGCCGGAGGAGTGGTTTGGTTGCTAGAGAAGGATCAGTTGTTGGCGGATAGATGATGTCTATAGGCTGAAGACACTCAAAGATTCATCGAATATCAAACTAGCAGTGAGATTAAATTGATTGAGATTTGGAAAATTTTAGTTGATAACAAGTAGAAAAGTTAGAATTTTATATACGATTCTATTACCGAAGTAAAAAATTTCTCTACTAACAAAGCACGTGAGAAACTTCTCTCCCACCGCTGCATAGGAAAAACCATCATGAAATAGAGTCAGCGTGGTGATCTAATACAATAAGTCGTGTTCGCTAAAGGAACGTCATAGTCACCCTAAAAGGGTTGTTGCCAAAGAATCGGAGGAGCACGTGGTTGCCTGGGAAGCAATTGCCGATGATAGGGAGACAATGTCTCCCTTTAAAGATATAACAGAGCTATTGGGAATCAAACTAATGGTGAGATCATTTGTGAGATTCGAGATTTTTTAATTAGCTAACAAGTATACTAAAATTGTAATCTATGTAATATGTTTTTAACTACCAAATCAACAAAGCACCCCTCTATTACCGATTCATGCGAGGAATTTGTCTCCCACTATCCTTAAAAACACTTCATTGCGAAATGCAGTTGGTACAATGCTCTCATGTGACACGATTAAAGCAGTATGCTTAGCCACTCCTCAAAATTTAAGTCAGTGCACTCGAATAGTTATCCGAGGAGAGGTGTGGTTGCCGAAGAAGAAGCAGTTGCTTTTAGAGACGTACGGTGTCTCAACTCTCAAGATTGAAAAAATTCGAAAAATATTGAATATCAAACCAACAAAATTATCAATTATCTGTGATTTGGGATTTATTTAATCGCTCAACAAATAGCAAAGTTACGATTTATATATGGTTTTATTACCGAAGCACGCAAAAAAAAAATCTCTCATACTCCCACCAATAACATACTGATACGTTGTAATGGGCCAATCCCATATAATTAGAGATGTGTCAGGAAGGTGTTTTTAAGAGAATAAAGCAGTGGATCCGGTGATTTTAAGAGAGTAGAGGTAACATGTTAATATGTTATAACATGCCAAACCCATATAATTAGAGATGTGCCATGAGGGTAACTTAGAGAAAACATAGAATTTGGTGGAACGGAAGGATGACGACTCTGATTATAGAATGGATAGAGATAAAGAAATTCATACAAAATAATTCGCTGTAAAATACTCTCATTGTCAATTTAGAATCGGATGAGTTATTTTTTAATAGTACAAATTTGAATAAATAAATCTAAGTTATTATATTTTGAAATAGAGTATATCCAGAGGATAGCCTCGACCCGATCACCCATGCAATTCGCAGCCCAATTTCACTTGCGGATTTGTGTGACAGTGTGACACGCTTACTACACCGATATAAGCGGTATACTTACCCCCAACCGCGTCACCGCCTCAACTTGTCATCAGTCTGCCGCTCCCTCTTCCTCTCTCTCTCTCTCTCTCTCTATCTCTCTCGCCCGCTTCCTCCCCATTTTTCTCGCGCGGAACCCAACCCAAACCCACGCGGCGGCGTCTCTCCCCTAGGGTTTGGTCCGCGCGGCCTCCGTTCACCGGCGGCGGCGGCGG